AGCAGGTTTCATACCACCTAACTCCCTTCAAAGCCTTACAACAGGATAAGATGGAGTTTCGCTTTGTGTTTTGTACAACTGGGCTCATTTCTGACATCAGGCCATGCAAAGACAATAGACACCAAAATGCAAACCAATTATACAGAATTATAGCCATGATGGAAATAAGTAACTCAGTAACTAAATACATCTCCACTTTTGACAGCAACTACTCACGCACCCCCTTTGCAGAACCTGTAAGCTTTTTACTGCACTCCCCTTGCAAGTTAAGCACTAACATAATGCTTCATATTTAGGAGCAGACAAAGCCTCCACATTGGTAATCTTGTACACTTGAGTCATCCCTGTAACATTTGAAGACTCCTTGCAGCTGCAGAAGATAATTATTAACCTTTCTGAGTAATGACCAAACACACACAACTGACTTTGCCATTTCACCATGAGTCAGACCCTTTTTCTGGATGGAAAAGGCAGCTTCACTGTTAATTAAGTGTTAGGCTGAGCTGGTCATGCAACTCAAGTGCTCTCAGATGAGGCTGGATTCTGCCCCATTCCAGTACTGATCATTAGCACCTTTTCTGTGATTAGAATTCTGACCAAAGACCAGTTCACTGTCAGATCTCTTGGTAACAACTGTCATCTAACCATTGTGGCGTCTTGCTACCATTCTGCCCCAGTGCTTTTTTTTTTCGACAAGCCAGGACCATTTGATGGCTCCTGCAAATGCCATCATATAATGAGACATTGCTTTGCTCCGGCCAAGGAAATAGGGTTGTATTTTCAGCCACTTAGCAGTTCAAATGGGTTTCTTTGAATTGAAGTCAAATGGGGTGTTCATGTACTTATGATGCTTTCTGTTGCATTAAATAGAGTTCTTTTTTTAGTTTGCATAGCTTCTTGTTGTGTTGTACTTTGGCTCTGAAGAAGTTCTGTTTCGCTTTGGCATGGCTGATAAACATTAAGTCAACAGGTGTGTCTAGAAAGTGTGGAAGGTATAGTGCATTGTCATAACCATAGCAACTTAGAGTCAGGGAGCCCGCCGCATCAGAATGAGACACGATGAGGATACCTCATGAACTACCTCTTGTCCATGAATCTTTAACGGGGATCTGAAAGATTCATAATGCTCTTAACGCACTTTCAGCTGCTGCTGAAGCTGTAGTGAAGTAATGTCGGTGAAATAGCCGTACCTCCCTTCAACTCTGCACTCCTCTCGGAGTAATGACATAAATATGGGTAGTGCATCAGTGTGGAGGGTAAGCAAATGTCACCGATAGATGTGCAACATTAAGTGAGGTAACAGGTCACAGCGTGATACATCCTTTTTTTTGCTACCAATACAAAAAGAAAACTTTTCAATTTGCCTGACTAAAACATTCAGCAGTTATACAATAACCTAATCAAAGATCTGAATCGAATGCTAATTATTCAAATGGTTGAAGATGTTTCAATAGATCAAGGTACGTTTGGCATTTTCCATGTCCACAAGACTATATAATTATGGAACGACCTATTCATTTCCATTTCTAAAGACCTTCGAAAGCTTACATAGGCAAATGAGTCTGCAGTTCAAAGGCGGTGCTCCCAGGGGTGAATGAGATATTGCACCTGACTCACTGGCAGGAGACATGGCCCGAACAGGAGAACCGAGGGGGGGCTTCTAAAACTGCCTCAATGTATAAATTAATTTTGAAATGTAGTAAAAGGTGTTTGTTGTATACAGTCAGCTGTATTAAATACAAGGACAATCTTTACCTTCTTGGATACCTAAGAAAGGAAAGACCCATTAACACCCAGAAATAAAGCCGACCTAAGTAGAAAGTGAACAGCAAAAAAAGAGAAAAATTACACATGCAGCTATCTAAAGAAACGGGCTAGTGAAAATTAAAATTACGTCCTGAAAAAACATTTGACACATCATAAAAAGAAAAATAAAGGTAAAATTTGCCCAACAACCTGCCTTGTAAACAGAGAATTTGCTTCTGCATATTCAAGAAAAGGATCTGTGGCAAGGCATCATCCTCCAACTGGTTTAAAAAAAGAAATTGTATTGATAAATATTGTTTGATACAATCAATGCCTCAAAGTATTACATGTGTCATTAAAAAAGGCAGGGCTGTTATGGGTTGTTTATGGTTTCATAACTAGCTTCATTGTTATGTTTTCCTCACAGACACGGAATGTTTTTCTGTTCCATAAAAGATCTTATTTTTAACTGAGTGCTTGAGAGCGGGGAGTCCATCTTTTTTTTTCCAGGTTTTTCAATGTATCACAAGTCTTTCTGAGCATAGATTTGCTCTGACTCAAGGGTCAACACTTCTCTTTTTGTACAAAATATAGATTTCTATTACTTGTGCCCTGCGTACACTCATCAAAATGACCGAAACGCTGGGGTAAACACAGAAAGGGAAAGGTGGGTCACAGCTGTCAAGCTGAACAGAACTAATCGAGAGTCAAAAGGAGTCTTGAGGTTCTTCATGACAAATGCAACACTGAATCTAAATGCCCTCTGAAGGCAGACTGCAGGAAAATGTTAAGGATCTTTTTTCCCTGCCTTTGCTGTGTCTTTTCACTAAGCCCTCATGAAGTTCGACTTGATAGTTTTTGCCAAAGGTCATAGAAGCAGAGCAGCATTAGGGATTGTTATTTTCTGCCCTGGGTGTTGCTTTACAAGAGGAGATCCCTGAGTTAGGCCTGAAGTGATGGAAGGGGATTATATAATACATACTACCTGTCATGATGAGTCAACCTGTGCTGGGACCCAGCACTCTCCAACAGATTGACCCCAATCAGACGAGAGTGGTGACTTATTTCAGAAGAGACCTATCTAAATTCCTCTTTCGTGTGGGCAAAAGTGGCATCCATAGCAGAGATGGCTGCAGTGTAAAACAATGATCTGGTACTTTCAATTGTTAATCCATACCACCTTATGTTATTGTCTAAATCCAACCAGGAAGTGACAGTTTTCACTTTTTCAAAATACGACACAGTGTTCTTACAAAGCATCTACAAGTCTGGGACAACAGTGGCTGTCATATAAGATCACAAGATGAATGTAGAAATGAGGTGACTTATTTTTCTCCAGTTCCACCAATGAGCTCACTCTCACACTATGAGCATTAGGCTCATAGACAGAAAAGACCCTCTACAGTGACATCTGACTGTGGATCTGTGAAGAGCACTTCATAAGAAGAGGCCTTAAACATTGTGTTCAAAGATGCTCGTTGGGGGTTTTCTTATGGTACAGCGATGGAAGAACCTTCAGAGGATTTACCTCTCCAGTGTTTGAGTCGCTGTTCTGTTAGGAAAACAGATGCCTTGCTTTCAGAGAAAATCACTGTTTCTCTTCTGTGCAGATGGGGACTGCATACTGTGCTGAATTGGCCATGCTGTCCAAACATTAGAGGCAACTAATCAGAATGACTAAATGTGTCCTGTTCTGCTTTTCTACATGAGGAAACCTGCCAGTCTAGATAGATCCTCCCGCTGGAGGCTGATGTTATGAATATTTACGGCCCAAGACCAAAAATGAGCTGTTTTTTTCTTTTTTTTCTGTTCAGCAGCACCTGCATCTGGCTTCATTTTCCTCGTTCAGAATGAGACGGAGCGTAAAAACATGCTTTCAGTCATAAACAGAATTAGTTTTCAGCTCGGCCAAACAGTGCTGTGAGAGCCACAGCTGTTCCGTGGCAGACGTCCAGGGGAGTCCAGGCTAAAAGTCTGGCAGGACATCCAGTAGACCAGAACCTAATGTCTACAATAAGCTTAACTTTTCAATGTGGCAGCTCGACCTCGGATAAGATCCAACTGTGGTAAACAGTTGTCTTACAGCGTTTATGAACTTTAGAGTTTTCATGATCTTATAAAGCTCCAAAATGTCTTAAAGTGGGTAAAAGAGCGCAGACAAAGAAAAGGGACAAACATTCTTGTATTCAAATTTTAACAGTAAATCTAATATTCCCACGATTTTAATTTACATGATATATTATATGTTGCCTTTTCATATGTTATTTTATACAGCTGCAAAGTGGGTTTATTCTGTTGAGAAGGAAATTTTATACGTTAAGGGACTGGTTGAAAAGATGTATGTAATGAAAAAGGATGCAACAAAAGTATGCACACCTTTGCTTTCATTGAGGGGACGAGTTTGAATAGCAAGAACTTTAGCAAAATGTCCCCTGAGAATTCTCTACCTGTGCTGGACACTAGCTTTGAGGAATCCAGCAGTGCACATGTATTAGACTTCACCAGGATCTTGGCATGATCATTCCAGAAATGTTTTCTTCAGTGTTATTCATATGTAGAATAACTTGTTTTGCTTTCGGGTCATTTCCACTTTCTTTAAAGATGTGTGTTATGGCTGTATGCCCTGTCCAACAGCACTTCTGGCTATATCAGGCATACTTATGAGGATTCATTTTCTCTTTAAATTTGTGTTATTGTGCCGTCTCATTTCTTTACTCAGCTTCCCTTTTACCAATCCTAAAGATTTGTCTGAAAATCAGATCATGTTTACTGCGTATCATTTCAATTATGCAACATCTTAAAAGCCTCCAAGCTTGCACTTCCTTTTTCACCTCGGGTTCACCCCCCTGCGAAGACTCTAGGAATAAACTACAAGATAAGCACAAACCTTGAAAATAAAAAACCTGCATCAGCTTCCTTGTCCGTTGGCGGATGCCAAGTATTTTCAGTCGGTGTCACACCACATGGAGCCAAGGTGAAATGCCCCCACAACATCTGCTCGCTGGGAGCCTTCAGCCCCCCTGAGCCTACCTCCAGTTTCATGACATAACGCGGCTATGAGTGACAACAGCAGGTCATTTACACTCACGCTTGAATCCTCAATAAGTGGCCAAGCAACACTGGACACTCTTTCAATAACCCAGACTCAGTCTCATCCAAACCACAACAACACTGATTGTGTTTAGGGTGTGCAGTACAATTTCATACATGAGTTCTTCCTACCAGCTAATGAGCCAGATCAAAAAAATTCCCACTCTCCCTGATATAGGTCAGGTCTGCCCACTGGGGCATGATGCCATAGTATAACACAGTAAATTCCTCATTCAGTGCACGCTCTGCGTGATGACACTGATGTACCTGATGGTTGTGCGCACTTTACCACAACACGACGGTGCGTAAAGTGGCACGTTTGTTGCAGTGTAAATACATTTTACAGGCCATGCATTGAAAGGCATGCAATTATCAATTTCTAATTGGGGAAGAGGGGGGACAAAACTGCTGAAACACCGCTGGTTTCAAGAGGCATGTGCGTGATGTTTAGCGTCTGTCCCTGGTTGTAACACTGGGAGAGATCCTATTGATGGAGACAGCATGCTTCAGACAGAGGTTGCAGACACTAACATGCGCTCTGAGATTATTTTTTAAAAAACGAAGTGAAGCGTACTCACCTAAAAGACCAACACAGAAAACTTTCAATACCACGAACTCATTTGTATCCATCACGCTGCGAGGATCCAGTCGGCCTGGGAATCAAATCTCAGTGGCTGCTCCGAGAACACCTACACTTGAAGCGAACCATAATTGAAATTATCCCGAATGTGCGCGCTCTGTCATACTGTCACGGGTCACGGTGGCGCGTGGAGAGTGTGTGAGAGAGGGAAGGGAAAAAAACCTGGTCAAGAACTAAACGGGCAAATGGAGGACAGCAAGTCGGACCACAGAGCGCGTCTGGGAACAGTCTCCGCTTCTCTGAGCGCGTCAGGAGTCAGAGCTCAGGACCGCACCGTCCTGCATCCTCCGAGGGGGGAGGGAGGGAGGGAGGGAGGGGGAGGATGGGGGTTCCTACTCAGCAGTACATGTGGCCACACTGTGGCCACCAGCCAGTCGTCCTCCCGGCGGTTACGCACTGGGAATCATCGTGGAATTAAATGCAGAAGCAGCAAAAAATAATAATAAAAATGTTACATAGCAGCTTTATAGTTACATGCGAGCATATTCAACTCAAAACAAAGTGTCCTATCAAATCTAAATAAATTAGATTTAATAGTCTAATAAAAAGTGATGACGACAGAGATTTGATTAATCTTTCAATTAATCTCAAATTCTCCGTTGATCATCCTCTCCAAGAGAGCCAAACTTCTGTCGTCATCCATGAAACAACACTGACCTCCTTTGGTTTTTTGATCACATTACACCTTCAATCAACTCTTAACTGAACCACACAGTGTAACCTTACATTTACACAAAAGCTAAGGCCATTTAAGTTCATGAGAAAAATCATTATCTTAACCAATTTGAGATTACCTTTTCTTAAATAGGGCTAACATAATCAACCATTATTTAAGAGTAACTACTTACAAGTAGTTTATGCAAAACCGTGATTTTTCTGCCTGTTTAATTTGGTCTTCAACCATAGTTGAAGAACAAGCTGCTTGTGTTTGAACTGCAAAATCTCAAATGTGGGGGGAAAGAATGATGTCAAAGAATACGACTTGCAGTGCACAGTAATGATTCATATCTTTAAAAAAAGATACGGATGATAAAAATAAAAAAAATGAACAAAAGCATAAATGATAAAGAGGACTCTGAGAATTGTGTTGGCACCAAAAAGGTTTTTGATTAGTCCAACTAAAGAGAAGAGCAAATGGAGAGAACAGAAACAGTAGGTACCTTCAACTGGCTCAATTTCTAAAGCCTCAGTACATCAGAGATTCATTTGTTTCTTCAATCGACATATCTTTAGCTGTAAAGAAGTTCATTAAGTTACTCTTTTGAGGTGCTGAGGGAATATGAAAATACATATAAATTGTTGCCAACACAACTACTCAGAGAGAAAAAAAAAGATCAGGCTTGATGTTTTCCATTTTCTAAAGCTCATTATGCAATCATCTGCATGCTCAAGGCTGTATTATCATCTTTTTTTCTCGCTTTTAAGGTTAAGAGGGAGGTTTTTGTTTGCTCTATATTTTGATTTTGATAGATTTAAGCTCTTGAAATTGGATGTGCTCCCTTAAGGAAAAAATCATTCAAATGTCAGTTTGACAGAATGAATGTATTTCAGAGTCAGTTATGAGATTGTTTAATTGCAAGATTTGCAGGAAAGAAGCTGGGCTGCACATAGACTGAGACCAGAGGGGAGAGTGATTGCAAGAGAATGTTGATCACTGAAAACCATTTTTTGGAATGATTACTTCGATAACTGATAATGAATGAAGACAAACTCATCATGAATCAATCAAACAAAATTTGGAGTTATTTTGGTACCACAGTCTTTTTGCACACATCAAAAGGATTATAGACTTTAAGCAGGAACCTGACTCATATTCCAGCTAAATTTCCAAAAAGTCTTAAATACACATTTTTAAAGGTGAGCGTATCCCAGCATGCATGTTAGAAAGAAAAGAATGTCACATTTCCTTTGTTTATTCGACTCAAATCACACTAAGAATGCATGTATATTTTTAATAAAAGTGTGTTAACATATGCAGATAAACAGATAATACAAAGATTACAGATACTGTATAGCTGTTACATTCAACTGTTGGTTAGTATCTAATTACTTTGCACGTCTCAAAAAGGTCAGAATGGAAATCATCCTCATGTATTCATGAGAAAATGCTAAACTATGTAAAGATGTCTAAAAAAATCTCTGATGCTATAGTAATTTTTTAAAAAAGTGAATAGGATCATCTAAAATATCTCTTGTCAATCGAGTTGCATTTTGAAGAGAACGTTTTTAAAAATCTACAATGAAGCTCATGGCCTGTTTCTAAACAGTCTCTTTATGGCCATACCTTAAACCATAAGGGCCATTGTTTGTGCTCTTACCTGGGGGTAAGTGCCTGTTGATATATGAAAGTTTAAAAATGTTTACACATAAATATTAGCTCACGATATGTAGTGTTTGGTGTAAACCTGAAATTATTTTCCCCACGTTTCAATTTCTAGCTCCGAATGTGTGTTATTTTCAATCAATAACGTTTTGACAATACATCCAAATTAAAAACAAAAATCTGTTTGTTTTCTTATTGTGAATTAGGTTGTAAATTATCATATTTAATTTCCCTGAAGTCTGGAGAACTAAACTGATCAGTCAGTTTGTCAGTACAGGCCACATCCAGCTCCCGAATGTTCCTCAAACTGCTCTCCTTTCTGCTTTTATTTGAATTTATGTCTATTTTTGCTCAACAATCGGGAAAACAACCTTCTCAGTTCTTCCAGCCCATCCAGTTTTGCTCACTATCAACCTATTGTTGTCGATTGCAATCCAGCTAAAAGGTTTCCGGTACTCCACTGGAAAACAGAATAATGTGTCAGAACAGGAAGAGGGTGCTGTACTCCCTGTAGAAACTGAGCCAAAGATGTCAAGTTCTGGCAGTTGGTGGGAGACGAGGAAGGGAAACACGGATGAAAACATGTTTGGCATTTCAAGAAAGGAAAAAGGAAGCACACTTCTACAGAATGATTAACTCTGCTAAAACAAATGTCTTTCCATAAAAAACGTGTCTTTGGACCAATTCCTTTGATAATTGTTCAACTATGATTTTTTTAAAAAGGGAAATTATTCGAAGACTGTCATATGAAGATTAAAAATCATTATCACTGATAAGTTAACATAGTCCCTCTTCAGAGAGTGCAGAGGCTCCTTAACCTCATTAATGCTCAATAGTTCATCTGTAGCGTCCATAACTCCAAATGGGCTTTAGAAGGAAGTGGTCAAGGAGCTGACGTTTTGAGAAAAGGGATGCAGCCAGCTGGAATTGTGTCCGGGAGTGTCTCAGCTCCGGTCTGGTCACCTGCCTGCCACGAAAAGGTGTTGACCTTTGACCGGACGACTTTAGCGAGCACGCGACTCCGCGCTGAGCAACTTTTGCCGGGAATTCTACTGCGTGCACAAAAAAAAAAAAAAAGTTTCGGACGTTCAACATTCCCAGCCTGGATGCTCAGAGGCTGACCAAACCGGTTGAAATATAGGATGTCAACAAGTGACGCAGCACAACCGGAGCTCAGTGTGGTCGGAGGACCCACAGCGACGCCTTCCTGCGGAGTAACGCGACTCACGCGGACTGCGGCTGCACGGTAAGCTAAAATGCCTCTAAAGTAACCTTCCCCTGTCGTTTTTTTTGACACTCTGTGATGTTTTGTACTTTTGACCGACCAGTTATTGATGGAATAAACACTATTCTTGTTGGCCATGCCATTTAAAAAGCGTACGTAGACATTCTTGTGAAGGAAAGAACCCCCGCGCCGAACTGCGTTTAAATACTCAAGCCTTTAACGTTTTAACGCTATTCTGATAATATTTACATGTCACACATCCAGCTTCGGACTAATATAGATTCGTTAATTAGTCAATGTAATTTCCGCATTGAAATATTGCAGTCATTGCTAATTTTAAAATGTTTACTGCTGCGTATTTCCCACCGATGTACGGTTTTTGACAGCGTGTCCCGGCGGGAATAACTTTTCAAGCTGAGTACTTTAACCAATTTTACCCATGTATTGAAGTTAAGCCCCTCTCCGTAAGACTCTCGTTATATTTCCCCCCCTTGCTTTTCGCTGGTTTGCAGCTTTCTGTACGACGTTCGATTGGTGCATCCGAAAAAATAAAGAAGGGGAGAAAAGGGGAGAAAGTGACGCACTGGGCTTTACTGAAAAGTCAGAGGGTGTTTGAACTACACACTGGCCCGTATGAAACGTGTTCATTTACGGGATGAGTGTGTTTTTTGTTGCATTGAACTGGATAGATTGTACTTTAGAAACAGTGTTTTAGCAGGCGAGCTGATACATGAAGGCTTATGTGTGGACGTCAGCCAGCTGTACACAAAAGGCCAGTGCCTGTGCATGTCTGGAGCTCTGACTGTTAATTCTCTACATATCCTGTTAATTCCTTTTAACCCAGTGCACTGTATACCTGACTATGGGTTAAAAGACAAACACCTATTTTGGACATCTGACAGGCAGCAAGGGTGTGTCAGCAAGTGCACAAGTCTCACTTTGTCCCGGCCACCTTTTGTTAACACTTACACTGAGGCCGCGAAGCCATTAAGCTGTCGTTGGCAGTGACTTTATAGAGGAATTCGTGGCCTAAATGATTTTACTGGAGTTGGAACATTGCGTTAAGTGTTCGTGCGTGCTGAGCACACGCCCACACTTCAGTTGAGGCTGAATCCTTGCAGTTATGTAAGTGCTAGCTGGCAGATTGGGCACACACCCACAGAGAGGCTGACCTCCAGTGGAAAAAAGAACACACCAAGCATGTATTAGCCGCATCATGCTGCAGCCCAAAAAGCCTCCCAGAGACAACAATTAATCATCAGATCAGTCACCATAGCTTTACATGTCAGCTGTGAGACTCCACTTTCCCTTTCCTTTCTCTCTGAAATCAGATTTATTTATTTTCTTAGTAAGGGTGGATATATCAGTTGTTTACAGATATTTTAAAGAGAGATTGTCAGAAAAAAAGACAGGATGGTACTGTGCCTTTGTTGGTCTGATTAATTTATTAATCTGATTTACATTCTGTTCCTAGCAGAAATTATGATACAATCTCTTTATAGATACAAACCTGCACTTTGGAAATTTGACCAAACAAGTCAAGCAATGCAAACGCATTAAAGTCCAATCTGATGTTTTATTCCTTCCCTGTCTTGCACAGCTCCTTATCTGCTTTCCATCACTTCCTCCTCTAAGTTTGGTGGTGGCCTCGTGGCTCCATGTGCCAATCTGCCTTTCCTTTATTTTATTTTTTCAAAGATGTCATGGTGAAAGTGTTTGGCAGTTCAGTTTTTTTTACCAATAAAGTAGAACACTGTGCTGCCCAGTCAAACAGCAGGATGGTGCATAACAAAGGCAGATTATTGCTTCAACTGACTGAGTTTGCATGTGGCCAGATTGGGCTGCTTTTCAGCCACAGTTGCACCTGTTTAATGGAAATTTGTCTGGTTTGATATGTATTTGTGTTTCACTGTCTTTTCAAAAGGATACACACTCACTCCTGTGTTTATTCACTATTATTATTTACATCTTCTGCAGTCTATTTGTTGGGATTTGAAAAGCATGTGCAGCAGGTGCATGTGACTTAAACTCCAGCTGCATGAACTGGGTTTTTAGATGGGGTTTGAGGCCTTTTTGATTTTGGACAATTGTGGCTGCACTAACTTGCAACTTGCATGCATTTTAAAAGTCTCAAAAACTCCTTTTGGTGCACCATAACAGGCCAGGAAATCACTAATAACCCTGTGATAAGATGTGATTACCTCTGCCAGCTCAGGGAAAATGAAGCTTTAAAACACTCTTAAAGGTTTGTTTTTCTTGGCACGGTTGGAGAACTCTCTGCTCCTTTTACTCTTGTCATGGCAAGCTTTGATGCTTTAATGACACCGATGAGTGGCCCCTGAAGGCAAGGTGTGATGGTTAGAGCTGCAGCTGTACAGGAGGACCAGTGATGTTCTTTTTTTTTTTTAAGATAATAAAGGGCGAGTGTAAATTATCCTGGCTTGTTTTTCTTTATCAAACAAAATGGGTGCAGAGACAGTGTGGCGCTCAGAAAAACGACTCATCCGGTTCTGTCCAGAGACGGGAGTTTGGCACCGCGGCGTGGGCTCCGTGCACGTGCTCGAATCAGTGGGTGTGCTTGCTCTGAGCACTGTTTGTAAGAGAAAGTGTTGAGTCCTTACATAAGCTGCTTATCGGGGCAACTCCGTCGGAATGATAAGATGACCGCAGCATGGCTGTTTGGTTTTCCCTCCGGCTTTGCTTTCCGCCTGCTTACATGCTGCAGAGATAACCTTCCAGGTGGCTCACGTCATTTTCTTTTTCCGAGGATGGCAGAAAGCCTTGGGTGTAAACGACTCTGATGGATGAGAAACGTTTATTATTCACTGGTTTGCTGACAAGATTTTGGGTGGGTAAGAAGCTCTGTGGTGTGAATGGCTTCAGTTTAGCAAAGTTTTCCTCAGCTGCTCTCACTGATATCAGTCATAGATATCTTTTGCCATATTTTTAGTCATCCACAGCATACTATAACCAGATGATCATCTGGTACAAATATGAATGCGTCCAAGTGAATTATGTAATAGATCTATGCAAATATAGAATTAACTTATTTTTTATTCTTATTCTAAAAAGAACACATTATTGGTCAACAGTACCAACATTTTTCTATTTCTTCATATATACTATTCTATACATTTTCTATATATACCATCAAAAAAAGCTGCCAGTAAGATCAAACATTTTGGGCTCATCCGGAGTAGTAAAAGGAATAAAAAATCAAAAGGCATCTTTACAACTTCTTACTTCAGATGCAGTTGTTGAATTTTCATGTATTCTTATGATTATGTCTGCTGTTTCCTGTAATGCCAGCCAGAAAATGGCAACCGCATTTCATACTTGTGCTTTATTGATATTTTTTATGGGATTTAGTAGATTCAGTTGTCTGACTATAAGTAAAAAGATGTGTAAGGAATATCCAGTGGTACTGCAGTGGTTTATTAGCTAAGCAACTAACAATAATTAAGGGTTAATAGTAAACTAGCACATGATGACAGAATCTCCCACCTCCTTTTCACAAGTCAAGATTGGCCTTTCTAATCATATAGAAGGAAAAAGAATTTCCACTGTGTATAATAAACACCCATATTTTTTTTAATTTATACTAAAATTTTGAATATAATGTATGGAGAAATATGGTAAGAATGATCAGCATGTTGCTCACATGGTTCTGAACTTTGAACATGGGGAATAATTTAAACTCATTAACAATTCAATCATAAAATATCCAGCTGGACTGATGCAAAATGGTGTAAAAAGTGTAATCCACGCATGGCCAATGTCACGCTGCTGATCAGTCCTCCGATTCTGAATAAAGCAGTTTGATCCATCCGCCGGCCATGACAGCTGCTCCACCCATTTGGGTGCGTCTTAAACTCAAATTCAATTTTATATGGTTATAAATGTTTCTAATGGTGCTCAGCTGACCTGAGATAAGAATGCTGTTTTCTGTACAGTACGGCACCGACTTTGGCAGATCCCACCAGTGTGCAAGTGACCGAGCCTAAATCCTAAACAGGGAAAGGGGTTTTACAATGGACGTTATTGTGTGATATTGGGTCGTAGCTCCAGAGTCCAGCCAAAAAAATGCTGATTAAAAATCAGTGACATTTTGTAATTTCATCTATAATCCCCCAATATTGGCCTGCATGTGCCAGTTATTTTCAGAAATGAATGAAAAACTCTTCTTTTGTATGATGGTAAAGCAGTATTCAAGCCTACGAAGAGAGTTGAAATCATGGAAACGAGTCAATATAAGTTGTGAGAGCTTAAGGCAGAACGCTTTAAACGTGGTATAACCATTCAAAAACTAACTTTTTTTTCTTTCCTTTGATTTTAAGAGTATGTCAGAATGAAACATTTGGAAGTGATGGTGGTGTAACGGCTCTGCCTGAGCAAGGACCTTCATTCAGCAGGGTGGTCAGGACACACAAAGGTAAAGCTCGCCTTCAGCTGTTTGAACCGTCTTTGCTTTAAAGACCCACTAAGCTCCCTTTAGTTTGTATGTCAGTTATTTGAACATCCTTTCTGTGTGTGTGTGTGTGTGTGTGTCTGTGTGTGTGATGCAGAGCTAAAATTAACCTCAGGTGGTCTAAGAACGGACGAGGAGCCTCGCTGTACTCTTTCAGATGTCCCCATCCAGAGTTCTGCTGGGCCCAATTTTACCTCCAGCCTCGTTTTGAGACTCTCCAAACCAGAGACCAGACTCAAGAGAAATTTGGGGCCCTGGTCAAGTCAGCATCACAGGTATTCTATCTAAGACCAAGAAGAGGAACCTCTCATTGCTTCCCAGCATTTAGTCACACATTAACTCTTCTGTGACCACCACAAGTGAGCTTTAAAGATTGGCATCTAAGAGTCACTGCCTGGTCTTGCATGCATGAAATATTTTCCTCTCCTTATAAATATTTTACCTCACACTGTGTAATTTGCTGTCAGGACGCCTTACTCCATGTTCACACAGTTAATGTGTCACAGAGTTTTACAAATCATCCACCTGTGTTCTAATATCTTTGCTGTGATTCTTCCCCCCAGTCTGAGAATTATCATCGTCTGTTCGGCTTTGTCTTTCATTCTTTATTATCTGAACTTAGCATCTTCTAGGGGGTGTTTATGAGCATGCACACCACATGTGTTTTCTTCAGCATATTTGCATGCCACCTTGTGATTATGATAAGCTTGGATACAAAGGTCGCAGATCAGACGGGCTTTATTGGTTCACTAAGGGATCCACCCATTGAGCACCTGCTTTCCTCATGTCAAGCCAGTGTGGCCTTATATGGACATGCAGTGTGATCCTGAATGTCTTCAGCATTTGGTGTAAAAATATTCCGGAAGTGTTTGCATGAACAGCCACAAGGTGTGACTTCAAAGCTCACGTGACCGTGAGAAACTTGTACAGAGAAGAGGACAGACAAACGGAATGTCGATGGTCCAGTCCATCAGCATTGCCGTGTTATATATTCAAAATGTGATCCTACAGATGTTTAGCTCAAAAACATTACTGTTAAGCCTGGGGATGCTGGGTGTGTTTGAGAGAGCAGTCTCACCGAGTTGTTTTAAGGAGCTTGAGTGCTGCATTTTTGTCATGTCACCTATCACTTTACTTAGTCTTAGCTCAAGACACTCGGCATAGGCGACTAAAAAGCATATAAATCTTAAACATCAGACGTTGGCTTTTATTGAAAGAAGATGTCTGCCTGTTGTGTTTATTGACTGATTTACTGTCTTCTCCCTCGGTTAACAGCTTGACTGAACCACTGCTGTGTGACAGCAAAGACAGAGCTTATCAGGTAAAGATTGGTAGCCCTGATAATGAATTTTCAGAGTGAAGAGACATGCTGGATTAAAGTGTAAAATCAGTAATGCAACAAAATTGAAACTGTAACCTCACATGGTCCAAAGTGTTCCCAGATCCTAACAAACACTTAAAACGTTTTCCCTTTTCATTTCTCTGAACCGCCTGTGAGCTATCAGGGAGAATATCACTTTACATGACACTTGAAAACATCCAAGATTGATGATTATTTCAACAGTTAGAGAAGGGTGTGTGTGAGTGTTTTTTCTGCAGGTGTACTTGGATGTCTGTCATGTTTTTTAAGATAACCTGTTTTTCAGGGCTGACGTCTCTTTAAAAGCTGCGACAAGGGACCTCACAGTTTAGAAAGTGCAGCCTGATGCCAACATGTATTTGGCCAAATATCGTTACTGCTGCTGTGAAAGCCAAAGAGTTTTCCCACGTTCCTTTACCCACAATTTGTAAAATGTAATAGGTGCAGGTGCATATTTAAACCTGCTGGTTTTACTGATGTAGCTGAACATATCTCAGGAGCACTTTTGTTGATTGATATCCAGCGTGGGACATTATGTAGTCACATGAGGAAAATGCTCAGTTTCTGTTGTTTCATGCAGCATATGACAATGGGTGATAAATATTCATAGCTATCTTAACAATATCTAAACTTATCTTAACAGGTTAATGGAAGAACGGCATCACCGGCTACCTGCGATGTGACCTCAACATCAGAAACCAGTTTATTCCCTGCCAAGAGGGATCAAGAGGTCTTCAAAGTTGCCAACTATGAACTGGAGGATACCAGAGACTTCAACAAATCTCAAATTATTTCGAATAGTTATTTGGGACCACGTGAACGTGATGCTTTAAACATACCTCTGTGTTGTACACAAGGGAGTTTTACTGGATCTCTAACTGAAACTGGAGATAGACAGATAAAAGACTCCACAAAGCGTGATAGTTTTGCTCATTCTGGGGAAGTTTCTGATCCCTCTACAGACATGCTGTCTTCTACTGTAGTTACAGTTCTTGCCCCTCACTGGAATGGCCGACTACGTCGAAGTAAAAGATTTGATGGAGTTAACTTTCAAGAAGCTCAAGGGAACAGGCAGGATGTTGGAAGTACATCTGCAAACTCACACCCTGGTTTCCAGAGCCAGCAGAACCAACACAGCATGGAAAGTGTGACAGATGGATCACACTTCCCAAGGACAGTACCATCTCTTAGCACAAGGAGAAACACAGTGGGCTGGTCAGCTAAGAGTGACCCTTCAAGTTTGGATTTTGAATCAAAAAGGGAACTGATTCAGACTGTCTCTTTGGATGTAGGGGCTATCAGCCCTTCAGCCACTACTCCATCCACTAGGTCTCTACTCTTCCTCAATCAAAATGAAGAAAGGAGAAATCTTCATGCTGGCCACCAAGATTCTTTAAGCTCTAAGCCAACAACCAGCAATCTACTTTTGTCTTTAAGAAGATCCAAATCAAATACCAGCTCCGTCATGCACGAGGGAAATCCTTCACATGTGAGCTGCTCCCTAAATCATCCAAATGGAAAAGGATTTACAACACAGCTTTCTCCAACCAATCTCAATAATAATGTGCAAGAGAGGGTGAAGCCCCTCCTCTCCCCATCATCTCTTTCTTATAGGACAGCCGAATCTGGATCTGTCCTCTCCACAACATATACACACAATCCCAAAGAGAGGAACATATCAGACTCGCGTTTCTTTTCAACTTCACCAACAAAGAGAGATGCAGAAAACAATTTCTATTCCCAGCAACCTCCAACGATAAACAGGCTACAGACCAGTCTTACATCTTCCAAACAGGCATTCCAGAATACAGGACCACCAAAGAGGGAACAGAATAATGGTGGTTCAGAGAGACCAGTCTCAGAGACCTTTACCTCTGTGTCAAGGCAATCGCCTTATGGTAACTCTAACCTCTTAAAAGCTCATTCCCTTCCCAGACGAACGACCCTGACATCCACTTCTTGGTGGAAACAGGTTTCCCAGGAATGCAGCTCTCCTATCACTTTCAATGAGACAGACAATATCAAAGACAGGCCAAAAAAAGCCATAGTTACACCCTTTAACCACAATAGTGACATGACCCCTAAAAATCTAACTGCCAACAAAAGACCGGTTAGTCAAATTCCTGCTAACAGAGACACAGCTCAGCCTGTTTGCAAAGGTAACGTGAACCTTGGTTTGAAGCTACAGTCACGTGAATCAGAGAGGCTTTTCAAACAGGATTGTGGCTCAAATTCAAACTACAGTAAACCACAAAGGCCTCACAGCACATCAGACGTATTGTCTGGATCTAAAATTAGCAGAGCCACAGCACAAAAAACAGTGACAAACACCAAGGACCCCAGCAAACACAACATAAATAATACTTCATTTAAAGCAAATGTAAATGAATTCCCACACACTTCTTTAAATCCCAGGAGCACAAATCCCTCCCGAGATAATTGCAGCAAATCTAAAAGTATTGATTGCCCCCCAAGAGCAAGCCCCACTCCTTCATCTAATAATACAGACTCACAAACATTTGCCAAACTCTGTCTTTCTGTTGATTTCCCGTCCACTCTCAGCAGTCAATGTCCTACTTCTCAGACTATCTCCAGCCTTCCTCCTACCCCTAACACTAAAAACACCTTCCACTGTCATTCAATTTCCTCTCAGGGCAGTACTCGCACTTCGTCATTTGTAACCTCAAAGTGCACCAACAAATCCAATACCACACCTCTTGGCTTCGAAAGAAGCTATCCCAGCATTCCTAAACCTTTTAATGCCAAAACTGTGAACAACATTATTCCCACGGTGAACTCTTTCTCCAAAACAAACCCAATATCCACCTCCTTTACCACATCTTCCCCAACCACTGCCCCCAGCCCATCACTCCTTGGTTTACCTGCCAGTTCTGCTAGTGTATCTCTCACTTCTGTCACTGCCCCCTCTCTCCTAACCCCCCCTCTAACTCCAGTAATTACAAGCCCCAACACAGACACATCCAGTCCCAAGGGAGGAAGTAAATTCTCCAACAGCCCAGAAAGAGAACCAAAGAAACCAATTCAGGGTTTACAGGGAAAGAAGGCCAGACGAGTGACATGGGGGGACACAGTGGATGTGCAATGTGTTGAACCCGTTCCTGTGGAGAGGCAAGATCAACCTCAGGTCCAAACAAACCCAGTATCTCTTTCTAAACGTCCACAAAGCTTTCCCTCCATCTTCTCCTTTCTACGGTCAGGCAGTCCAGGACGAGGTATGTCTCCCACTGGCCCCCCTAACCTTAGAGATGGCAGCACACACGTGGGAAAAGGAGGGAAGTATCGCTCAATGTCGTCAGATTCTGCTGACTTAGCAGCAAGGGAGCGTGAGAAAAACAAGCAAAGAGCTGGTAACACTATGACCTCTGACCAGGAAAGACTACCTTCAAACACAACCAGGCAGGAGCGGACACTGTCAGTGGAGTCTGGTGTAGCTGAGTGTCGGTACTCTGCTCCTCTGTCTCTCCCTCCTGACTTCTCAAGTAGTTATAAGGTTCGATACAGCTCCACGCCATACTCTGCGCTTGTGTCCAAGAGACAGGCACTTGGAGAGCCCAATAAGATGACACACAGATTGCCTAGCTTCTCAAAGCCTTCTGAGTTAAATAATGCCCCGCAACCTTCCCCAAAGGACTCATTTGTTGCTGTGACAACACCACCTCTGTCATATGTCACCCCACCCGTATCCCTCTCCTTGCCTTTCCAGAAGAAGGCTGCTACACAGAGAAGTTCAGAGTTTGGGTTTTCAAACACCAGTGATCTGAACAATAATCACAGCAAGCAGAACAGCCAAGATTGTCCCAATAGCCAGATAGAACTTCTAGACAACAGAGTTCATATCAGCTCACAGTCTCTGGCGGGCGATGAGGCAAACAGCTTCTCCTCGACATATGTGACTGAGACGCTGGTTTACAGCATTAAACCCAAGGCAGATGTAGCTTCACCTGCCCCAAGGAACACCACACCTAGAACTTTGCAACTTACTGCAAACCCCCCAGTTTCTGTGGCAACCAAGTCAAGTCAGCAGTCACTCACAGTTCAGCGTGGAGAAGCAGGCAGCCAACTGTCTTGCCACTCAGATCAGAGCTCCAACGACAGCAGATCAGGGGAGAGTCGCTCCCGTGACTATGAAAGCATCAACAGGAGCGTGAAGGAAGGTAAAAGCAGATTCTATTCAGTCGAAGGCAACAATGAAGTTCAAAGTTCAAAGAGAAGTCGGTTTGGTCTGAAGAAAAGTGAAAGTGCACCAAACTCTGTCACATCAAGGTCAGACTCAGAACGAGTCAGTAAGAGTTATAACCGAATGGACCAGGTGCTTCACAAACTCAGGAGAAAATTCAGCTCCAGGCGGTCTGACGATGACGTGGCATTTCCATGGAAGTGGAGGCGAGTGTCCCAAACCCCTTCTCTCAGTGAGTCGAGCGACATCAGCAGCGTTAGCGACAATAGTGCAGACAGTACCAAGACCATGGAGGACAGAGCGCAAGACAAAAGGCTGGTGCTTGGCAACGACAAGCTCGAAACGGATTTTACAAATGGATGGACACAAGATACACCAGCCCACCTCCCAGTGGGAGACACAGCGGTAGGATATCGACTCTCTGTTTGGCCCGAAAAGTCAGCCCAAGAAGCTGCTTGTGAGGAGCAAAAACATGCAGAGAACATTCCTGACGGTAAGCTTCATCTGTCGGTGCACGTCCCTGCAAAGGGCCAGTCTGAATCGTATGAAAACAGCCCCATCAGCACTTATTCTACACAGTACAGGAAGTCTACACCCAGCCCGAGGAGTCCCTTCTCCCCCTTCTCTCTTTCTCCTCTTTCCCCATTTTGTTCCACGGACGTGACAGACGACAGTGTCTTCTACAGTCCAAAGATGCAACGCCGCAGGGAGTCGTCCTCTCCCTGCGAGCCAAGAGAAGGATTCAGCTTAGGAAGCTCAAGAAGAAGCCGGGCTTCTATAGGTCCTCCAAGTGCAAGTCCAGTACAGGACAATGAACAGCTGGCTGCGTCCTATGCAGACTTAAAGTATGGCATTGAGCCAGGACGATCCTTTTCTGTTAGCTCAGTCCTGTCCAGCCGGTGCTCCAGACCTGGACGCATCTCCACTGGATCCAGGTTCATGAGTGTGGGTGACCTCTCTCAGTCCACTTTGTCCTGTGGAGGTAATGGCAGAGACTGGGATCAGGGCTCTCTCACACCTGACTGTAGTTACCAGCCAGCAAATGGCCGCAGAATGTTGGCCGCTGATCCAGGCAAAATGAGATCCAGGTCTCTCCCTCGCTCCCTGACGCGGTGCCTGACGAACTGGAGTTCAGGCCTCTCTCCCTCCCAACCCGCCACCGCCACCACCTCAAAGCCTGCTCGCCTTAGGAGTCCTAACGTGAGCACTTGTCACTTTGCGTGGGATGCAGTAGGTCCCCCTACCCCTCCCCCAACACCTCCCCTGTCACCAGTGTCCAGACGCATGTCCAAACCTCCCAGCCTTTCCTCTCCTACCTTTCCCAGCTCATGTAGATCCCTGCAGCAGGTGGACACCCAACCACCCAGAGCACGTCTGCTCTCCAGGGAGTATGTATCGAGCCTCAGCACCTTCAACGAGTCCTCAGACAGCAGCTCAGACACAACAACAGACGATGAATACTACATAGGCGCAGATGAGGATGGTGAAAGGGAGACAGAACTGTGAACACTATGTGTGCCTGTGAGTGCATTATTTCTAAAAACCTTGCAGGATCTGATGAATTTAAGACATTGGGACAGATTGATCCACAACAGGCTAATCTTTTACGATGCTCTCCAATTGCATTTTTTGTTTATTTCACTGTAACACGAAACCACACGGGGATAAAATATCACTTCATTGGTTTGTTTTGCTAAACTCCCTTGTGGAGTCCTTATAAGAGGTGGTGATATTGTATGAGGAGGCTTGACTAACAGCATAGTTTCAAATATATTTAAAGTATGTACAGTATAATAAATATGACAGCATATCTGTTTGTGAATATCAAATAGCTATTGTTCACCTTCTTTGGTGTGGTTGCATGGCAGAGGTGCACAGTAGATATTGCTTTGTGCGTGTGTGTGTGAGAGAGAGATTTAAGAACAAAACACTGTAATTTTGGCACTGGTTTAGTTTTGTGTTTGCTTTCAATCGGCATTAAGTACAGAGGGAATGCGGATAAACATGTTGTCATTTGATATGTTGTGATCTATGTATGTTTTAAGAGAAAAGTTGTAAGCTTAAAGCAAAACAAATGTTTATTTTCTTAACTTTTTTTAAAGGGGTATTGCTACAAGTTCTCTAGATTTTAATTAAACATAATCACAGTATGATTAACATTTGTCATCAAACACTAGGAGGAACTCTGTGTGGTGGCTGCTCTTATTTGCACAGTGTCTATCTCAAATCCTAATATATCTATTTTATAAATAAATCTTTCTCACTGGAGCTCATGTTTTGGGTTTTTTTGGATGCTGCTGCTGCAAACAAACACAGGAAGTGATTCCTGACTCCACATTCCAGTCACGTTAGAATTTCATTAACCATATAAATCACTTTCTTCTGGATGCCACTTTCTAAGCGGCCTGTACTGTAGGTGGGGCCCTCGCATTGTTTAGCTGGGTGCTCCCATCCGTGTTTTTTTTTTTTTTTTTTAAGTCATGGCAACCGACAGACTGCTGTGGTGACGGTAAATTCAAACCTCCTTTGGCCTGCATGCATAATCAGTGCTTCACGTGGCTATGTACTTTGTGCCTCGACTTTCCCAGAGTTTTTCACACCGAGGCGGAACATTCTGCTTTGTATCGTCAACCATGACCTCATCTGGGAAGGGCTGCCTCACATCGTGTGTCACTCTTTGATTCTTCTTTTCTATCTTATGTCATGATAGAACAGTGCAGTGGAACACTCGTTCCAGCCATTAGCCTTGTCCTAGCCCTCTGTCAATGCTGTAAGGATGTGTTTACAGTCAGAAGTCAAACTGGGTGTTCACTGATTTAAAAAAAAAAAAGATAGGGTGGAAACTTTGAGTTATGCAAACAATAAAGATCAAAAGTGTCAATATTTAATCACTGCGATGGTCTGTTTGTTGTGTGGATTATAGGAGGAAGTAAGGCTGTAGCTCAAATGGGGGAAATTCCACAGCAGTGAAATTCTTTAGAATGTCATACTACAGGCTCTTCGGTGTCTTTTTAACCAAAAAATACAACTTTAAGCCTCAAGGAGGTCATTGTTCTGTGTCACAGGTGCACTGCAGGTGCAGCGGGTTCAGAGCGAAGGGATTTACCGACCAAGACAAACAGCTTTGTGCACAGATTTAGTCATAATAATGGTATAATTATGCCTACAGGTGAGCAATGTGTTGGTGAACACATAATCCATGTAATAACCCTGGTCTTATTCCCTTAGTATTTTGGCTGTAATTGTCACCTTCACTGTAAACACACTCTACATAGCAAGTTCCTATTAATAGTTTAAGCTCTTTGAAGCATTTCAGAACTCATGACTTAATTCTTTTAGGATGAAAATACCACACAACCATTATGAATCTTTAGAGGGGGAGAAAAAGGACGATATGTTGAGTGTCCTCTGTTGTATTTTTCCCCCAGCTGTGGAAACATCATGTAAGTGAAACTGTTTTCCGCTCTTGTTTTTAGTCAAAGTGTGCTGCCATCTGATGGACTGATGAACTGCAGTCAGCTAGAAAAAACACTGGTTCTTTTGTAGAAGCTTCTTAAGAGCCCCCATATTAAAAAAATAAATAAATAAATTGAATTGGAGAAACATTAACAAAATGGAAAACACAAAACAATGGGGTGTCATCGGACAGCTTCTTCAGATGGAAAAAAACTACCATTCAGCCACATGGGAATAACACAGAAGGCCCTGAGGTTTGCAGCTCACTTTTCATTGGTGGTCTCAAAACTTTTGGAAGTCATAATAAAGACCAGGAAATTTAGGTGCATTCAAAACTAATTTATTCTTAGCTCCACTCATGTTGCATGAAGGATCAAGAACAACTACAGCACTACAGTGTGACTAAATTGTCTTACTGAGGGCCACTGATTGGCTTCACTCTTCATCGTGGGATTTCTGTAAGAGAGAAAGCATTCTGAGTGTTTCTGTCTTGTGAAATTGCCAGACCACCGCCTATTGTGGTTACACACCTTAGATCCGGAGTCTCTGCTCTTGGCTCTCAGCTTGTTGACCTGAGACTCGGCGATGTCGGCCCTCTCCTCCGCTTCCTCCAGCTCATGCTGCAACTTGCGCAGCTTGCCCAGATTCGAATTTGACTGCTCCTCCTGAAAATGAAAGGAGATGGGGCTTCGATGAAGAGGAGAGCGATCGAAACCTTATCCCCAAACTGTTGTGTTTTAGCTTACGGCCTCCTCTGCAGTCCTCTTGTAGGATTTAACTTTCATCTGCAGTTTATCCACCAGGTCCTGCAGGCGACTCAGATTCTTTTTATCCTCCTCCGTCTATTCATGACACACAATCGAATGAATCTCAGAAACACAACTTCTGTCTTTCAGTGACTTCTTACAACACAGGCCTGTGCCTGTGGAGTGTACCTGATAGGAGAGCTCTTTGATGCGTCTCTCGTATTTGCGGACACCTTTCACTGAGTCACTGCTTTTCTTTTGCTCCATATCCACCTCATTTTCCAGCTCTCTCACCTTTAAAAATGAGAGTATTTTTTGTTAGAATGTAACAAGCTCTGGTATTAGTGTGCACCACCACTGTGAGATGATGCTTCAGAGGTGAGGAGCAATTACCCTGGCCTCCAGCTTCTGGACCTGCTTCTTGCCACCTTTCATGGCTATCTGCTCGGCCTCGTCCAGGCGGTGCTGGAGATCTTTGATGGTTTGCTCCATGTTTTTCTTCATCCGCTCCAAGTGGGCGCTGGTGTCCTGCTCTTTCTTCAGCTCTTCCGCCATCATGGCTGCGTCGGTGATGGCCTTCTTTGCCTTCTCCTCAGCATTCCTGCACTCCTGCACCGCCTCCTCCACCTCACCCTGAAGCTGGCAGGTGTCGCCCTCCAGCTTCTTCTTCTGGTTCAGCAGGCTGGTGTTCTGGAGGAGGGGTTGCGAAACGTCAGCGCGCAGGATCCAGCCATAGTTCAGAGAGAGGGTGAGGCGGCTGGCTCACCTGCGAGTGCAGCAGCTGAACTCTCTCGCTGACGTCCAGCAGTTCCTGCTCGGCCAGTTTGCGACCTCTCTCCGTCTGCTCCACCAGGGACCTCAGCTCATCCAGCTCAGACTGCAGCAGGTTGTTGCGCCTCTCCACGATGGCAATGTTCTCCTTCAGATCGTCATTGGCCCGGAGAGCATCATCCAGCTGCAGCTGTGAGTCCTGTTGAGGCATATTTGGATTTATTAGCATAGAATGACTCCTTAATATCCTTCATGGTTGACAAATTTGACTGAGCTGCAGTTTCCTAACTATTAAGTCTCACCTTCAAATGTGAATGCACCCCCTTGAGCTGCTTCTGAGCTTCTGATGCCTGCCGGTTGGCCTGGCTCAGCTGGATCTCCATTTCATTGAGATCTCCCTCCATCTTCTTCTTCAGTCTGAGAGCCTCGTTCCTGCTGCGAGTCTCCGACTCCAGAGAGCTCTGCAAAGTGTCCGTCACTCTCAGGTGGTTCCGCTTGGCCTGCTCCATCTCCTCGTCTTTCTCCACCAGCTTGCGCTCGATGTCCGCCTTCACCTGGTTGAACTCCAGCTGAGTTCGAAGGATCTTGCTCTCTTCATGCTCGAGGGAACCCTACCACAAGTGGTAACGAGTGAGTCTATGTCCCAGCCTTGCAGTTAAAACATCAAAGGGACACAGATGCACAAAAAATCTTTGTCTTACTTCGGCTTCCTCCAGAGCAGTTTGTATCTCAGCCTTCTCCTGCTCCAGCTGTTTTCTGATCTTCTCCAGCTCATGGATGCTCTTTCCTCCCTCCCCGAGTTGCTCAGTCAGGTCAGAAATTTCCTCTATTTTAGGCATAATCATAGATTTTAGCATTCACCAAACTCCTTCAAGACAAATCATCTTCAAATGAGCTCTTCTTACCCTGGAGATTTTTGTTTTCTCTCTTCATGGTCTCCAGATGATCCAGAGACTCCTCGTATGAGTTCTTCAGTTTGAAGAGTTCTGTGCTAAGAGAGCGTGCCTCTTTCTGAGAACCTTCAAGCTCGGTTTGGGATTCCTCATACTTCTGCTTCCACTCTGCAAGAACCTGATCGTGTAACAGAAAGGAATCATGAGAGCCAAATCATCCAAGCGTCATTATTCAAGGGAGATGTTTTTTTGTTTTTACTCGGGACCTTGTCAAAGTTTCTTTGTTTCTTGTCCAGAGCGGCGGCAGCTGCATTAGATCTCTCCACGTCCACCATGAGATCTTCAATCTCACCCTGAAGCCTGTGCTTGGTTTTCTCCAGGGAGGAGCACTTGGAATTAGCAGCTTCGACAGCCTCTTCAGCATCCTGCAAGCGCTGTGCAAGTTTTTTCCTAAAAGGAAAAGGGAAAGAAAGGAAAAAGACAAGCATTCAGTTATTTCCGGTCATTAAAAATTGAGAGAGCAGGGAATTGAAGAAGATTGTTCTTTTAATATCTAATCCATTAGCTTTTATGCGTCTGAGCCCTTACTTTGATTCTTCCAGCTCCTCGGTCCTTTGGATAGCATCAGTTTCGTACTTGGTCCTCCACTGAGCCACCTCGGAGTTGGCCTTGGACATGCTGCGCTGGAGCTCGGCTTTGGCCTCCTGCTCCTCCTCAAACTGCTCCCGCAGCAAATCGCAGTCGTGCCGCGCAGACTGCACTGCATGGGCGAGTGCATTCTTGGCCTTTAGTAAAGAAATATCTAGTCAAGTCTTTTTGCCACCAAACACTCAAACCTGTATGTTAACAACATCTCTTCTTAAATACTCACCTTGACTTCCTCCTCAAGCTGTCTCTTAAGGTCTTCAATCTGCTGAGTGTAGGACAACTTTCCTCTGGTCAGCTGGGAGACCAAAGAGTCCTTCTCTTCCATCATCCTGGCAAGCTCACCTGTGAACCAAAAGTTGAGGTTGTGTGGTGTAATTCAAGTGGGCTTTTCTGCGTATCTTTTGCATGACGATGAGCTTAATGGGCCAACTTCTGTGGCGTTTCTTTCTGAGTGTGACTCCTTACCGTTTTCAGTCAGGAGCTTTGCCTTTTGCATTGTGAAGTCATTGATGGACCGCTGGGCCTCTTCCGATTTTGTCCTGTACTCAGTCATTTGATCCTCCAGAGTTCGGCACATTTTCTCAAGATTCGTCTAAATGGCAGAGTTGATATTTATGTGGTAAGCTGTATTTTCAAAATTATTTCCCTCCAATGTCAGCTCTTAAAATGTTTCTTATTTTGTTGCATTACTACAGTATTTATATTTTCTTTTTCTTTTTTTCAAATGTAAAAAATTATCAATTTAGCCAATCCATATCAGATTGTTTTGTGTGATTAGTTGGAGAAATCAGTATCTAGGTGCAAGGGGTCAATTGTTTATGGCAAAAATATTTTCTAATAACATACCAAGCTGCTACGTTGTCGATCATCTGTGGCAAATCAATTCAGCATGCTGAAGAAAAACAAAAACTGAACAAAAACTAATCTAGATGGTAATGGGAGCATTATAATGAAACTAAATTTCATAATGGGGCGTGGCTTCACTTTACCAATTACACAAACCTTCAAGTAAAAACTAGATTTATCCCAATTTTTTTTTTTTCGATTTTCTGGCATGTTGGACATGATTCCCCCTATATTTTCCCTGAGAATGCGGTCTCTATCTGCATCAAATATATCCATGGAAAATTGAATGCTCTAATTCCAATCATAAAAAGTCTAAGTGGAGTAGTTTGGAATCAGTTTTATCACATCTGCTTGCTTTGGGCGCATTACTTTAACTTTGACGATCTGCTCCATGTTGGACACCACATCGTCCAGCTCCAGTCGGAGTTCGCTCTTCTCCTTCTCCAGCTTCTGCTTGACTCTCTGCAGGTTGTCGAGCTGCTCTCCCAGGTCAGCCACGCTGTCCGCGTGCTTCTTTCGCAGCGCGGCAGCGGTGGCCTCATGCTGCAGAGTGGCCTCTTCGAGGTCTCTGCGCATCTTCTGAAACTCAGCCTCCCTCTTCTTGTTCATCTCAATCTGGGCTGCAGTGGCTCCCCCAGCCTCCTCCAGCCTCTCGCTGATCTCCTCCAGCTCCCTGGCTAAGTCAGCCCTCTGTTTCTCTACCTTGGCGCGAGCAGCTCGCTCTGCCTCCAGCTCTTCCTCCAGCTCCTCAATTCGGGCCTTAATGAATGACAGGATTGTCACATTTATAGGAATTCAATGAAGGGTGAAACATCCAATGAAAATTGCCAGCTCTCTAACCTGTAACTCCTTCATTTTTTTCTGGAGCTGAGCACCCATGGCCTGTTCATCCTCAATCTTACTGAGCTGCTGGCTGATTTCAAAATCTTTCCTGCATTCATTGATATGAAACGGTTTACTTTAGAAACCCGTTCTAAAGCTGAATGAATCCAGTGTTGATCTTTAGTTTAAAAAACGTCTTTACTTTTTGAGTTTTTCCTCCAGTTGCTGCTTGTCATTCTCGAGATCCATCACATTTTCTTGGGTCAGCTTTAAGTCCCCCTCCAGTTTTCTCTTGGCTCTTTCCAAGTCCATTCTCACCTTCTTCTCTTGTTCCAGTGACCCTTCAAGCTAAAAGACATTTCACAGATAAACATCATCAGCTTTTCTTTAACCAAAGCCTCCTTTACAACACACAGAGGTTTAAGTACTGACGTCATCGACTTGCTGCTCCAGCTTGACTTTGGCCTTCGTTAGAGTGTTGACTTTGTCCTCCTCAGTCTGCAGGTCATCCAGCGTTTGCTGATGAGCCTCCTGAAGAGCTTTCTTCTCTTTGGTTAGCTTAGCGATGATTTCATCCAAAGCTGCCATTTCTTCAGTCAGGTTTTTCACCTTAGAAACCAAACAGTAGGGGCTGTGTTAGGTTTGGTATTCAGAAAGAAATTAATCCTGAATACTTAAATCAGCCGCTTAAAGCTCTAATGGATTAGTTACTGTCCATGCTTGGTAGCAAACTAGGTGTGAACGCTGACTCATGTTTGGAAAGAGTAAGAAGGAGCTCTACATATCTATCAGTGGTCTCAGAGATAAACTGTACCTTGTTCTCAGTGGCATGCTTTTCCTTCTCCACTTTAGCCAAAGTCAGCTCCAGATCATCGATGTCCTTCTTTAGCTCAGAGCACTCATCCTCCAGCTTCCTCTTCTTGGCAGTCAGCTCGGCATTCATCTCCTCCTCATCCTCAAGTCTTTCCGTCAGCTCTTTGGCTTTGGCCTCCAGCTGGATCTTGCTCTTAATCAGACCTTCACAGCGCTCCTCTGCATCTGTAAGGTTGTCTTGCTCCTACAAACAAAAGATTCAAACAAGCACGGTCTTACTTTACAGATATGCCCCATCTGTTTTAAAAAATGCTGAGTAGGTGATCTTACAGATTGGACTTGGAGCTGCAGGTCATTCTTCTCTTGAAGAAGGGTGACCATTTTTTCCTCCAGCTCTTTCTTGCGGGCTTCAGATTTAGCGTAAGCCTCTTTGAGCTTCATAAACTCCTCTTTCATGTTTGCCATCTCCTTCTCGGTTTCGGCTGACTTCAGCAGAGGTTTGATCTTGAAGTACATCTTCATCCAGGGCCAATTCTTGACCCCCATAAAGGCACGGACGTTCCACTGGATCACCAGCAAAGCATCCCTGTGGATGAAATCCGTTCAGTTTCAGTTCACTTCCAAAGGTCACATTTTTAAAAACTTTCAAACAGGCACCACCTACCTGCGCTCTACGATCTTCTGAAACTCTATTCTGGCAAGCAGTCCTCTTGATCTTGCTTGAATTCCAGTGATGATAAGAGCTAGACGATCATCTCTCATCTCCTCAAGAACACCGAGCAGGCCAGCTTTAAAGAACACCTGTAGCGACAGAAAGGTGTTTCTTTTCCACTGTATTTCAACATCCAGGGCTTAAGTAAAGTATACAGGGTAACTAACCTTTGTATGTCCAAGCCTGTACTGATCGTGATCAATATCCAAAGAGCCCAAAAGCTTTTCCGCCGCTTTCTTGTTGTCAATGAACTGTCCATCGGGAATAGAGCTGGGGTTTAAGATACGATATCTGAAAGAAAAAACCATGATGGCATTTAAATTTTACAATCTTAAAGGAAAATGAATTATAGAAGACAGAAAGCCTACCCCAACCCCCAACTCCACGAAATAAAAAAAATCATAATCCTCCTTAAGATTAATCCAATCACCCTTACATGTTGGCAAGGGGAAACTTGTGGCCAATTGGCTTTGATTAAACCATGATTTAAAACGAGGATTTAAAACTAGACGTATTCATTGATGTGTGACAACAAACAGGTACTTATAGTCTTGCCTTTGTTTGAAATCTCCATATTGGATCCTGTTAGGGAATCCCTTCCTGCAGATCCTGATTCCTTCCAGCACACCGTTACAGCGCAGCTGGTGCATGACCAGAGGATTCTCCATCGCCCCGGGAGTCTTCGTCTCATTGGGGATGATGCATCGCACAAAATGTGGGTGGGTAGATCTGAGGTTGGTCATCAATTTATTCAGATTCTCCTGTGAACACATACCGTTTTAAAAAAAGAATGAAAAAGAGAGTCTGCATTGTGTAGCCCAACATATGACAGGTCCCAGGCCTGAGAGTTTATTTTACCCTGTGCAAAGCAGACACTGTCTGGAAGGAAGACCCTTTCTTCTTTGCTCCCTTTCCTCCTTTGCCTCCTGAATCCTGGGCTGAATGGAAATGTATACATAAGTGTGACTGTGATATAATTTCTCAAAGCACAATAAAATGGTCAGTGTGTTCCAAAACACCCTTACCTGATTCAGCTCCAGCATAACCAGCGAATAGCATAGCCAGAAGCTTCAGGGTGGACTTCTGATAGAGTCCAACCACAGTCTCATTTAGCGGATCCTTGTTCTTTACAAGCCAGTTGCCAATGTTGTAATCAACAGTACCAGCATAGTGAACCAGAGAGAAATGAGCTTCTGGTTTGCCTTTAACTACTCTGGGCTTCTGGAAGTTGGGACTCTTACCCAGATGGTTATCATACAGTTTCGCTTTAAATGTTGAATCACTGGCTTTGGGAAACATGCATTCCTCTTCAAGGATGGACATGATACCCATGGGCTATGGAGACAGAATAATTGAAAGATTAGCCTCTAAAATACTGAACTGACCACTCTAACAAAGTTTCTTAATGTTTCAGTAGGTTTTTAAAAAAATATTTTGTTTTATTACAATAGCCTCAATAGTAACATGGCCTCACAACCCAATTAGGGAATAAGTGGTTATGAAAATGGATGGATGGATGGATGGATGGATGGATGGATGGATGGATGGATGGATAGTGACACTTTCATTTTTGAATAGCCAATACAAAGAGGGCAAAAGAGACTTAACATGTTTACTTTCTTTGCTCGGTTTTTGTTGGGTTTTATTTATCTATCAGGCAGCTATTTGCTGTTAAAACAACTGCGGGGTAAATCAGAAAAGATTCTCATTAATATGAAGTCCTCAGATAATTTCATTCATGGGTTCTCAGAGTGATACACACTAACCTTTTCAATTAGCTCAATGCAGGCTGCCAGATCCATGCCAAAGTCAATGAACTCCCACACAATGCCTTCTTTCTTGTACTCTTCTTGCTCCAGCACAAACATGTGGTGGTTGAAGAACTGCTGCAGCTTCTCATTTGTGTAGTTAATGCACAGTTGCTCAAAGGTGTTGAACTAGAAACCATGAGCAAAGTGAGAGTGCATGAGCAGATTCTGTCGATTTCATGAGAGCCTGATGTTTGATTTAAAAAAAAAAACCTTCAACACCTACATCAAAGATCTCAAATCCAGCGATGTCCAACACACCAATGAAGTATTGACGGGGCTGTTTGGTATCCAGAGACTGGTTGATTCTCACCACCATCCACAAGAACATTTTCTCGTACACTGACTTAGCCAGAGCACCGATAGAGTAGTACACCTACAAACACATATAAGCAATAGCATTCCATTCAGGTGTGGTGTACCTTTTTCGGGCCAAGGCAGACGTACAGAATTCTGTTTTTATTTCAACCTACCTGCTCCACACTTTGGCCTTTGGTGACCCACTCATTGCCTACTTTCACTCTTGGGTGGCACAGTCCCTTGATGAGGTCAGCAGAATTTAGGCCCATAAGATATGCAACCTTGTCCGTATCTGTAAGTGCATGTTGTGTTGTCATTTTTGCATCAAAGCGACTTGTATTGGAGGTCCTGTTTTTTTTTTTAAAGGGTGCATTAGTGAGAGTCTTTTAAGTCTACCCTCTGTGCCATCGGGCTCCGCTTGCTCCTCTCTCTGCTTCTGTTTGAACTTCATGTTTCCATAATGCATGATGGCACCAGTCAGCTTATAGATGCCATTCTTCTCCTCTTGGGTGAAGCCGAGGACATCAAAAGCTTCCTTAAACGACAAAGTTACATTCGAGGTCAGTCAGTGAAAAGTGGGGCTACTTCAGCAAGCACTCGGCTTCCACTCACATCAGTAGCCATCAGCTCCTCTGAGTCATTAATGGAGGCTACCGTTGTCTCTCCTTGGGAGATATAAGAGTAGTCGTAGGGGTTGTTGGTGATCAACAGCATTTCTGCACAAGAAAAAGAAGGATGAGTCTTTTGGTTTCTGGTGAATTTGTTCTTTCATTGTTAGATTCTTTGTTTTTTCTGATCCTACCCAGCAGTTCTGGTTTCTGTTGGGACAGAATCTGGTAGAAGATGTGGTAGTCTCTCTCAGCCTTGAGCTGATAGGTGACACGGGATTTTTCCAGCAGATCTGATGAAAGAGACCAGAGAAATATGTATTTAGTCATGCTGTCTATTAGTCAACATTTTCTGAATTATCAAAAACCCAAGCCAGTGCTAAGCGTAGCAAACTGTTACTTTTAGAGTCCATGTTTCAATTAGTCCACTTAGTCCACTTACAGGTCTCAATATCGGCGGAGGACAGCTTTCCGCTGACTCCAAAGTGGATTCGGATGAATTTACCCTGTAAAAAGAAGTTAAATGTCATCTGTTACTAATAGTTTAAATCAATGATTTGCTTATTTTTTCGACAACTGTATGATGTTGAAATGCAAAGGCTTAACATGTGAGCATTGTTAAGTAAAGTAATGAAGAAACTCACAAATCTGGATGAGTTGTCGTTTCTGATGGTTTTGGCATTCCCAAAAGCCTCCAGAGCAGGATTAGCCTGGATGATTTGATCCTCCAGGGTGCCCTGTGGACACGGGAGGAGTCCAAGTTAAAGCACTGAAACTGTCTTCATTGTGTACAGTTGATGGATTACACCAGACAAACCTTTTTCTCCTGACTTGGATCCTTCTTCCCGGAAGCAGCTGCGATGCTGGCAAAGTACTGGATGACTCTCTTGGTGTTCACAGTCTTTCCTGCACCAGATTCTCCACTGGCAATGAAAATCGAACATTTAATGAAACCTTTTCAAAACCTGAAAATGTTCTTTATGACAAAAGCTTATGTAACGCATCAGGACTGACTCACGTGATAAGGATGGACTGATTTTCTCTGTCTGAAAAATGGCAGCCAAAGCACAGTTAGGCAATTAGCGGTGTCTAAAAAGCTTCAGAAAATCGGAGCTGAACATACCTGACAGCATGTACTGGTAGGCATTGTCAGAGATGGAGTAGATGTGAGGAGGAGCTTCACTCCTCTTCTTTCCCCTGTAGGCAGCAACCACCATCTTGTCGTACACTGGCAGCCACTTGTAGGGGTTGACAGTCACGCAGAACAGTCCTGAGTAGGTCTGTGGAGAGCACGCCCACAGCAGGCTTTATTTAATAAACCAAAAGTTTCCTGGACTTAAAATTCCTGAATATTGGCACTCATTACTCACGTAAATCATCCAAGCTGCGTAACGCTCTTTGAGGTTAAACAGCACAGCAGGTTCATGAAGGAAAGTGAACATCGCCATGTCTTCAATTTTATCAAACTTTGGCGGGTTCTGGGGGTGGACGTCTGCATCCTTGACGGTGACGGTCTGAAGAGATTCACAAAAGAAGACATCTTGATCCAAAAGCCAGCAAAAAGCAGCCATTAACAGTTTCACAGCCACTCGTCAGCCTCCATTGGTCAGTGTCAGTGTCTGAAATCACTTACTTTTCCAAACTCAGTTTCAACAGTGACTTTGTCTCCATCTCTGCTGGTAATTAGGGCTTTGACGTACTCCACTTCAGGGTCGGGAACAAAACAATTCTTCTTCATGTCAAAGGGTCGGGTCTGAGCTTCCAGGCGCTCCTTATCCGATTTTCTCAGGAAGGATGCCGCAGCCCCAAACTCTGCCATTAAGGCGTCTCCCATCTTGGAAGCTGTTTAAATTTTGGTTTAGTTTTAGGCATTAGACAAATGGAGGCCTTTAAACAGTCCAGCGACCCTGAAGCATCTCTACACATAAAAGATTTACCTCATGAATATTTTTAGCAAGTTGCACAAGTAGAGGAGGAAGCTGTGACAGTTATGATTGCAGAGACAGAGAGCCGAAACACCCAAGATTCTTACATTTTAAAAGCATGTGGGTTCTTTCAATTCACTTTAATTTACTTTTCAAAAAGTTATTCTGTGTGTCCTTAGATATTCACTTTGGAACAGCATTTAGCATTTTACCTGTTTCCTTTTTTCTTTCCCCGTTGACTGATTTGCTGGATTGGATCTGTAAAAAAAAACAAGATAAAGAAGGAATTTGATATTTTGAAATTGTCAATCGCTCATGCAGACATATGATGTCTGTGGGTTTACCTGCAGGTGCTGTGCGTCTGTCCTCACTGTCCTTTCCAAAGTCCTCTTTTTATACATCCAGGAGGCAGTGCTCGAGCAGCCAGGCGCCCTATAAGGACAGCAAGAACACAAAGGATAAAAAAGGGAACATCTGTATTTGGAGATAAAGGTGTGGACCATTATAACTGTCAAGTCATCATTGGTCAGTGGAGCTGAAGCTTATTAGCAGGCTCTGAATCTGTGTCTATTTTAGGTCTGCCTTTACCCGTGATAAGAAAATGAATCAAGAAGATCAACAATCAAAATGCCCTTTTGCTCAAAAATAGCTAAAAAATAATGTTATTTTCATCATTTTCAACATATTTTGGTGTAAAAAATGTGGGAGAGGATTTGTACTTGCTTGCTAATCAGTTACTACTATTGTGACAACATTAACAATAATGTGGCCCTTTTTATTTATCTATTTTTAAATGGTTTAAAAATGGTTTACTTAACAATAATGCAACAGACTTTGTCTGATTGGTTTCTAGTTCATGTATTGTCTCTACCCCATTGTCCAAGAGGACAAAGATAACCTTGGGAATTTTTCTTCCATAATTCTCTCTCTGTCCCTCCTTGCCTCCCCGTGGACCTCATCTAACCCTCCTCCATTTACGATAAAAGACTGGTTGTGACAGCTGCTGCCTTTCAAAGCTCCGAGTTCCCATACTGGAAATAAATACATTTAACTCTCACTGAACGCTTATCGCCTTCCCCTTTAGGGCAAGGCGGTCAGACAACACGGTCAACGTTGGTAATGAGTGTTGTGTTAACCGAGAAGATCCTTAAATCAGGTGTTAATTGAGTGGACCTCCTGAAGACCTCCTCAAGAAGGCCACGAGCCCTTTTGACATTAACAGCTTCACACTTGGAGCTTCATAGTGACCCGGTGGGTCTCCGCAGTTGGCTGTCTGCACGCGGCTTCTCAGTACGTGAAGGCCAGCACAGGGGCGTTCATTCCCAGCTGTCTTGTGTCTCCGCAGACTTCAACACCTAAGTTGAGCCCTTCTATATGTAGGATGGGTCATCCAAGGCAGATCTGGACTATACAGAACATAGGATCCTGAAAAATAATAGTACTCTGGTTGTTTTTGAATAAGATATCCAGCATCCAAATTGCAATAGAAATGAAAAGCCTGTTTTTCGCTGTAGATTCTATAACAAATACATCGAACACTGGCTTAAAATATTTAATAAAAATCTAAATTGTTCAGAAAACCATTTACTCTGGATGTCTCTAAACAACTTTACTCTGTCCAAAAGAAAGACGTACAAGTAATGGACTATGGAATCACTGAACTGTAAAATGCCTTTTTCATCGATCTGTGCTCACATTGAAAAGAAAGAACTATAATTTACCTCAACGAGATACTTTGGGACCAGAGAAGGAAATTTCTTGACTTTGTGGATGGGCTTTTGAGTTTGTCTGCACTTTGTAATTAGCTGCGATGGCCATGTAAGTTAGGAAGCCTTCTTTCTTTTTCCACTGACAAAGCAAAAACAGTTTTTGATCGCTTAAGCAGATGGGTGCTTGCTATCAGATGTGGATGTTGGTAAAACTTTGGCAAACATGTTTGCATTTGGATGGACATTAAAACAATTGGAATACAGAAAACGAATGGACCAAGTGCACATCAATTATATCATTCAGGTGGATCACCTCAGACGCTTTGAAAATGCCATACATTTTTAAGCCAAATGCTTCTTACACATATCAGTTTACTCGGTAATAATACATTTTTAAACATACGTGTATATTTGTACATGTTTCATATAATGGCTCAAGCACACAGTGTTGGACAGTGTTCTTCATCAGTCCTCTGGGTGTCAGCCAACATATTCCTGAGCATAGTGTCTTGAAAGCAAAATGGACCAGGAGGTGTTTATGTCATAAAGTTGTCTTCTTTGTCCTCTGAGATAAACTGCATGACTTTAAACAAGCCTATAGAAATGTCACCGTGACTGAGGCCAAGTAACACAGAGTGCCAAAGTTGGCAGACTGCCAATTACACCCCCCCCCCACTACACACACACACACAAAAATGCACACACTTTTTGGCTGTGTTCCTAATTTATTCTTCAACTTTTCCCTTCTGACAGACCAGTATGTGCAATAATAAAAATGGGACCTTTCAGTGGTGACCCTCTTTGCTTTCTTTTCTGTGTTCACGCTCAGAGAGCAAATCTGGGTGTGAACATCATCACATGCGCAGCTGTTGCCGGGTCACCACCATATGTACCGCCACTGACTGCTACACCACACTGTAACTCCACACTGCACGTCTTGTTGGCCTCGCATTGTTTCCTTCCATTTACCCTTGAGGACAAAGATAAACCTGTGAAATAGTTTCGGGATTCCTTCTGCTGAGCTTAAGTGAAAGAAGCGTCTCCTCATTTGTCCTGCTCAGCCGTGACAGGTGTCGCAACTGCATGCGTTGACTTCCAAATATAAAAACGGTGTTGTTCTTTAGGCTTGACTTAATATTCTTATCAAATAATTAACTTTGCAAAGGCAAGCTGGGCTTTTGAAAACTTAATTCAGTTGCCAATTTGTCAAGGCCTTCTTCAACCAGTTAGCGGTCAATACAGTAAACTGTACAGAGGTGGCAAGTGTCAGTTAACTGTTTTTAGAAAAACCATTTGAATTCATAAGCAGTCAACATAAGGATCAAGAGAGCTATTTCTGCACCATGTAAAGTGGAGTGTTAATTTGTCTCAGACATTGCTGGTGAAGGAATCTTCTCATACAAGACCTCTGCACCGTGTAACGAGACTCTTTCAACACTTGACAGCTCAGTTCTCGAGGTCCCACCCTCAAGTAATCTTCCTTTAACTTTCTCTGTCTGCGGTCCTGTTCTCAGCTGTCGAGCACCTCTGGTCGAAGGGGGGGGTCAACAGCTGGACGTGTCCTCCACCCGTGCTCCTCGTAGGGAGCCGCCATGTTTGTACCAGCGTCCATCTTCCTCAGAGAGGTGGCTGTGGCCGGGAATGGTCAGGCAGAGGCCAGGGTGGAATGAGTTCCACCTGAATGGCAGTCATGATGGACAGTATGATTGTGGATTAAAAATTCCTCCAGTTTTCCAAAGCAATCCCTCACATACTTGAACTCAGGATAAAAAGTTGTTGGTCTACTCTAATTTTTTCGTACACAGCCATTTAGGTGATACAAATAAAGCCATATTCTATTCACTATGGGCCTTTTTTAAAATTGCATTTTAATTTCTTACACTGTAGAACTGGGGCCTACGACGTGCAACACGCTTCAGGGAAAGTTGTCCCCACACTGCGGGAGGTGGGACCACATGGCAGGAGGAAGACTGATGGCCTGTGTCGACCGTCTTGCCCTGGAGGCCCCATAGCTCGGCTTTCACACCTTATGTTTAGACCTTGAGAGCATTGTTTTGCTACCAGGGTTGAACATACCAATCTGTGTTAAGATTCTCATTCTCAGCTGTCGTCGCACGGTCTCCGGCAACAATGTCCTTCATCTTTCAAAGACGAGCCGGCTCAGATGACACCAGCAGAAACACTTTGCTGCCAGTTTTCTGCCGGACGGAGTCAGAAAGTGTGGGTTTGCATGATGCTTGTCACATTATCCGTGTTGGGAAGAGAAGTTTGCATGTTTGTTTTTATAAGAAAATGTTTTTGATACTCATTCATAGAATTATTTCTGGGAAATCGTGACCAGAAACTTGGGAATGAAGGGTCTTTGTCCTGCTGTGCAATTCAATTCCATTCAAGTTTTAAGCTGTCGCACAGCTCGGACTCTGAGAACCTCAGGTAGAGGTCTTCTGCTTGTGCCCAGAGTCAGAACCAAGAAAGGTGAGGCTGCGTTTAAGTTTTATGCTCCTAAAATCTGCAACAGCCTCCCTGAAATACTGAGACGGGCCTCATCTACGAAAATATTCAAATCCAGGCTGAACACATTTAAATTATTCCTCTTTGATCTTTAACAAAAAGCACTTTGAACAGTCTAATACACGAAGTGTTCTATGCAAATACATCTGCCTCGCCTCGACTTACACCAAGTTATCACACGGTGCATAACTGGAGAAACTCTGAGGCATAAAGATTCCCTCTTTGCCAACATCCTTTTATTATACTGGATTATTTCGGTGCTGGCATTTGTCTGACTTTGATTCTGGGAAGGGGGCAAACGTGTCAATATCAGCCCAAACAATACGACTCAGCAGCATGCCGTCTGCATCTCAACAAAGTCATCACGCTCAGGGGGGCCCAATTCAAAGGTCACGTCTGAGTATACAGAAGGGAGCAAAGTCCTGGTGTTGATTATTCAAATGAAACCTTAACTCTAATGTCACACTTTCTCAGCATGGGAGGACAGATGACTTGGAAATACCCACAGCGATGGCTCTAAATACCCCTCAAATCTTTCATGAAAAAATGCTCCATTTACTTGATACTTTAAAAAAGAATGGAATATGTGGACATCCAAATAAGATGTTGATGTCTCGGTATGGATTAATTACATTCAAAACTGCTTTGTGAGTTAAATAATCATGGAATAATAGAACTTGATGCACACTGTCTTTTCAGGAAAAAGGAGTCAGTCTCATCTTATTAAGATTAATCTCTTAATGTCTCCACCTTGTGGCTCCAAGAGGAACAATGTACTTCACAGTACATTGATGAATGACAGACAGGAGCTCTGAGCTAATGAATTAGCTTCGTGTTGGGCAGATATGACGCTGAAAATATGTCTTGTTTATATTATAGGTTGCAATTATATCTTATTTTTTCAACCTGTAAAATTCACAACCACCTCTGCTCTCTGAATTGGTATTTTTTCATCGGTCTTATATGAAAGACTAACACGTGAGATTATCCCGTATATCATCTACTTATGTAAAAGATTCCCCGGAAAGCAAACAAGCCTTAAAGCATATCTGTCACACTGAGTCACCGAGGGGGCTCAGGAATTTAACCTCCTCAGAGGTTAAGATAGCTGTCAATCTTCTGCTGTCCAAGGAAATAAGTTACAAGGTGATAATTGTGACTCGTGTAAAAGGATTCCTCCGCAGGACCCTGACATGCCACTTGAGGAGCTCCTTGAATGTCACAAATTCACACCTCCGGTTGTGCGTTGACCTCGGGGAAAGTCGATCTCCTGACATGAGGTCTCAGCTGTCCACTTGCCTCCCTGTTGAAACATTCTGCATCACAAGGAGGTGTAGAGTAAGTTATTGTTTGGGAAGGTTTTTTTCTCTAGGCAATTCAATATGAGACACACAGTATACATGTAGTTTTAAACACTGCACTAAAAGGCATCATCACAACATTGCTGTTTGTGATAGCTGTTGATCATTCTGATCTGTTTGATTTTGAATATTGAGAGAAAGAAAATGTTATCATCTTCCTCCTCTTAATTGGTGGGTCTGGGAGGTTCCAAAAAAGAGACCAAATAAGCAGCAGTCATGGTCTGGAAAAAAAGAGTCGAGTTACCTTGTTTCTGTCTTATTTTACTCTAACAAAATCCATATATCAGCATTCCCAATTATCAAGTCAACTATTTGGCAAATATTACCGGTTATTTCCCACTTAATGCTTATTCTCCTATCGTCAGAGTGGGTTACCTCCATGTACCCCAGCTTTTTCTGCCCAAAAACATGCATGTTTGGTTAATTGAAAGCCCTAAATTTCCCCAAAGGGGTGAATGTGATTGTGTGGGTGGTTGGTTGTCTCTGTGTAGCCTTGTGATGGACAGGCAACCTGTCCAGTTGTACCCTGCCTCTCAGCTGGACCCTACTAGAAAGTATTGACACTGGATAGATTTCCATTTTGAAGCTGCTGTGAAATAACTATACTATTCATTTTCACGACTGATTGGGACATTTTTCTTTTTTCTTTTTATTCGTACAGTTTCAACGTATGAAACTGGTGAGTATTTAGTTTAGTTTCTCTTAAGAAAAACTGCTAATCCTTGAGCGTTTCCCTGAACTAACTCTAAAAATATGTTTAAAATCTATGTTTAAATGCCCAACTATGCAGCAGAAAATGTATTTTCTGCCCGGAAAACAATCCTTAGGTTAATGTTTTCCTTTGCAACTACTGACTGAGGATGTGAATTCTTTCCAACTCACTTCTGCAAAAACCTGAAGTTATGCCATAATATAATAGGCAACTAGTAGAGTTACTCAGTGAATATCCACTGTGTCCTCAGTTTCTCACTCATGTCAAACTTTTACTCACTTCCTCTTCCAAAAAAGGCTTCGACAGCATAGTGACAACGTCCATCTTTCTGAGCTGTACGGTGACTTTGCTTTTGATCTATTTTCAGCAGCTCTGCGTCTCAGGGCTTTATTACAGAATTCAATTTTCTGACACCTTCCCTCAAATTACATGTTGTGTGAGCAATTAAAACCCACGGCTAAGGATAGAGTCGGTGATTACAGGACCTAGTGTCGTGTTCCCATTTCAACCCATTTAAGTGTGGAAGGCTTGGAACACCGCACGACTCTGAAAGCGAGATGAATAATTTAATTAATGTCTGCAAAAAGCATATTCAAAGTCTTCGAAATTGCTCTGGGCCTAAAAATAAAATTGAATAATTAAACAGTTGCTGATGGAATATTCTGCATGTGTAAAACTATATATATATAAATAAAACTGCAAAGTTTCCTGTATTGGAGTGACTATTTTTCCAAACATCCACAATTACAAAACAAGAGTCAGTGTTCAGTTATAAAATATTCAGTCCTTTCCCACTGTATTCAGGCTACTAATTCGAAACCCTCAGGTTTAAACTTAAGTAAAAGTTTTTTGGGGGTTGTTCCAGGTTGAAGTAGGCTGTATTTAACCAGAACACTGTGATTTGGCTTCTGTGTGACTCAGTTACTGGATTCCAGTCATTAGCTTTCAAATGGACAGAATTTCTCAGTTAAATTTTTAATTCCTGTACTCTCAGTTCCACTCTCCATTGCTCAGTATGTCATCAGCACTGGCCATGAAGCCAGTACCCTAACTGACTTTAATCCGCATCTCTCCCAGTTTTTTCTTCACCAAAATAGAGGACAGATAAGAAATGTACTGAACTGAAAAACATGCTTTGCAGCAAAACTGTTTGTCTGCAGATGGTGAGTTCTTAGTTGCCAATTCCTCTCCTCCCTGGGACAATGGGGCAGCCTGCTGGACATCATCTCCTTCTTTTTGTCCTTAAGGACAAAGATAACGAGCAGAAAGTTATGGCTGAGATACTCCGAAGGTTATGGCTCAGATTCTATTTTGTAGCTTTAGAGGTAGAGTCTTTATTGTGTGTGTTCTTTTCCTGCTTAGTGTTGGTATTATTTCAGTTTCATTAGCTTCTAATTTATTTAATCAGCATTGTAAATGAGGTTGCAGCCGATGGCAGCTTTTCCCATCTGTTGAGACCAAACTGCTCATATTTTTGTTTCACATTTTCTCATGTCCAACAAAATCCTCCAATTCACTTTATTTCAGCCGAGAGAAAAATTAAACTGTTTGCATAACCGTATCTTTTTATGAGGATTAACGTGCGAGGTGTGTATGGATCGTCTTCCTTTTGCTCCCACAGACACCAACAGAACTCTGAGGGCACGTGCGTCTTTAGTGAGTTTGTGAAATGATTACTTTGTCTGGTCTGTGTTTCAGAATTCATGGACAATGAACCGATCATTTTGGCAAAACAGCAAGTAATTGTGATCGGAGAGCTAAGCTAAGAACTACTCTGTGGGGGGACCACAGAAAAGTAAAAGTTTGTCACCTACAATTTACTTTAAATCTACACGGTCAATTTCATACAGTCTCACTGGTGCATCTTGCCAATTGTTTACTTCTTTTCTCTTCTCTAAGGAAAGCGCATTAGCGTTGCTACCCCATATTTGCATATTTTCATCTTAAACTATAAACCACTGGAGCAAGAAAGATTTGTCAAAGGCGCAAGAAAATTACTATTAATTATGAAATGTCTATTAAAAAATGAAGCAGCAGAGAAGCTATTCAACAAGTCTGACATCTCACAGAGTCTGCTGCTCGGGGATGTGCCGTCCTCACACAGGAGGTCAGGCAGGACAGGACATTTTTCTGTTGGGGAAAGTAGTAAGAAAGTGAACACATAGAAGTAAAAACAGCCTCAATTTATGGAAATGAAATGAGCCTTTAAGTCCCGTGAGTGTACGTGTGTGGGTCAGTGGATGGAACTTTGAGCCGTCTCAACCATTGTCCTTTGACTTCTGACAGCTTTATATCTGAGAAGACACTCCGTTTTATAAATACAGGAGCAACACAAGCTCTTTTTCAGTCCTTTTTTAACAGTTGCTTTCTACATAAATTATTGTGTCTCCGCAAAAATATTTCCCAGGTTTTGTTGTTGTCATCCTTTGGGCCATTATTGGTATACGTTCTGGTGGCTTCTGGCCAATAACATCCTTCAAAAGCTCCAGCTGGTATATTTCACATGTATAGGGACAGTCAGACCTCCTGACTGCCTATATCAATCCTATTTGACATCTTAGAAATCACAATAAGAAGGATTAAAAAAAAGAAGAAAAAAGTCCACAGAGTGGAACAAAGAATAAACAGAGTACTAAAAACTAAATTGAATTAAAGCTTGAATTCATTTGATTTCTTCCTAACCTGTTTCTATGCAACGATTTCCATACAGAAAAATCTGCCTCGTGTTCATTTGTCCAGTTTTATTCTACATGAAATCAGACTATACAGTTGACCGCATTACACTCATCACTGTACAGATCATTAGAGTTGTCAGACAGAAGAACATTAGCCAAGTTAACCAGTGATAAGAACTACCAAAGTGTAAGTGTAAGATTTGCAGAGTGCAACATACAGAGGAACAAAAGGTTTCCTGCGGGCTATCGGAGAAACTATCAAACAGTTTGTAAAGTGCTGGATCCAATACCCTCCAGCCCCGTCCGGTCAGTGGGGCTCATTCGGAGCTCTTTGGGCCCTCTTCAGCTTCCGTTCGCAGAGCACTCTCATGGGGCCCGTTCCTCCATCGACATTCAGCTAAAACAAACAACCTCTTTCTCGGCCTCAGCCATTAAAGTCCAGCCGAAACCGTGCGCTGCTTCTACTCGAATACACTGGTCTATTCTCCTGGTCACCTAGAGAGGTATTAAGGAACTAGAAGCTTGTGAGGAAATGCAGAAAAAACAAACAGCCCTTCGGTGCCTCCAAACATGCAGACGGGAATGTGGCGACAATTAACAGCCTCATCAGAGAGGAAAAAGTTTGACTGAATCCAATTTAGCCTGAACGTAACTGATTATGCTTGAGAAGAACATAAATAAGGTATAAATAGTACTGGCTCCAGGCCAGACTCTGTAACTGGATTTTCCAAGTTTGATCATTAAAACGTTTCACTTTCGATCCAAATGTTGATAAGCTCTCATTCAGGTGTCATATACGTCCCATAAATTTGTAGGCTTTGGTTAAATAAAAGGTTATTACAAAGATGAAGAAAAAAAAAAAAAGGATTCAAAGTGCTTTACGCCCGCTTTGCGCTGCATAGCATTCTGTAAGGTTCCAGTTCCAGGGTCTGCTTTAAAAGAAATCTCAGTTAAAAGTTCAACTCTGAAGTATTTACAAGGCGTGTCACACTCACGATGGCCTCTAATGTCACTACACACGCACCCCTGCTCCAGGCTAATCCGCCGGTTAGGAGGGTTTTCTGACAGGAAAACACAGAAAATGATACAAAAAGATGTTTTTTTCTGTTTTGTTTTTTTCTGTGTTGTCAACAGTGATGAAAAACGGCCGTGATGAAAAACGCTCGGTGGAGGTTAAAACAAATGTTGACGGCGGTTTTGCGGCCGCTCTGTGAGCTCTGCGCCCCGTAGAGTCAGCAGTGTGTGCTGGTGGTCAGAGAGAGGTGGGGAGAAGGCTGGAGGCTTGCCTCGGTGTGTGAGTCTGAATGGCGAGAAGCGAAAACGGGTGACGTCAGCGGCGGCTCAGCCCGACCGCCCGTGTTTGGAATGACTTTGAGGATGATATGTCAGGAAGCTTTAAGGGTTCCGACCGCTTCGAAAAGCGTGGTTTGATGCGCTGCAGCCCTTTTTCTCTCCATCCGCGGCTCCGTTTTTTTTTTCTTCTCTGTATTGCTTTGTCTCCCCTGTCGTCTTGGTGGATGGACGTGCGAGTGGTGGGGGGGGCTTTAGGTCTCTGGGTTGGGAGTGGCCAGCAGCGGCACGTTGTCCCTCCTCCTCCGGCCCAGCGGCGGGCGCCTGTACTGCTCTCCGTCGGCCAGCGTCTGGGGCAGAGGCTTCCTCTTGCTCTCCGGCAGCAGCAGGATGGAGAGCACGGCCAGCAGCGCCAGGGAGGAGTAGACCACGTGGTGCAGGAAGTAGCCGTAGTGGTTCCGCAGGTCCATGATGGGCGAGCTGAGGCGGCCCACGCAGCCCAGAGCCAGCACAATGCCCACGCCACTGCCCCTGCAGACACACAACAAATGACTAATGGCCACAAATGGAAAGGATTGGTGGTGTGACGGTAGCTCAGAGTCACTGTGCAGACTTAAAACTCTGTGGAAGAGAGCGGAGAGATGTGCCTCACTGCATGTCAAACAGAATACAGGGCAAAAATGTTAAAAGTCTCACATGTATGTGGTTATTTAATGTGTTTACCTCACTATAAAGCTTGTTAAATTCCAAAAGATTTAAATAAATGTGACCTGATAGTGAAAACCCAGAGAAAAGAGGTTCATGTTTTCTTTTCTCTGTTTCTATTCCATCAGTCGGCTGCCTGGTGAATGACTTTCTCTGCAGAGTGGCGCAGTGCTTGCGTTACCTGATGACAGTGGGCATGATCTCAGCGGTGAACAGGATGCAGAGGGAGGCGGTGGCTTGGGAGGAGAAAAGGCCCAACACTGAGAACACTGTGATGGCTGTCTCGCTGAGATCTGCGGGTGGGGAGGAAGAGAGACAGGCATCAGGCGGTTGTTGCCTCCATGAGGTGCAATCTGCTTTTGACAGGGTTAACAAAGATGTTGGTTTACTGCAGCTTTTCAACTCCCTTTGAGCTTCACCCAAAGTTACCCCTGGCCTTTCATGCTTGAAGGGAGCAGGTTTCCTGAAACAGTGCTGTCGCTGCAGTGTCCTACATAAACTCGTTAGTTTTCTCTGACGGCCACAAGGGGACGACAAAGACTCAGGCATCAGTGGATGTGAGTTAGTACACAGTCATGTGGAAAAAGAAAGTTGCATAGGTCGGGTTTTTCCATCCAGCGGAGCTGGTCAGTTAGCCTTTAATCTACTTCATGTTCAGCGGGATTAAGCAGGTGAATGAGTTGTGAGCATTTATTAAAGCTAGGATTTGAGCAAATAATCATTTTTAATCCCTCCAAAAGCCTCATATGAAAGTTTTGGAACTGTAGGGGGTTGATTTCTAGAGAGAAGTAGTGCAACATATTCTAAATAGGTCTACCTGTTTGACTCAAGATTTAGTAGGAGACATTTCCTAATGCACACTTACACTCCATGAGTCCCAGGAGGATCAGAGAGGCCAGGCCCGTCATCGTCATGAACAGGAGCAGGATGCCGCGGCGGCCGCACCTGTCCACAGTTGCCCACAGCAACAGCCAGGCGCCGCCCCCTGCGCACACAGACAGCAAGTATGTCCAGTAGAAGCTGGGGGCGGTACCTCTGACGTCGCCTCGGAAGGAGCTGTAGCAGTGACTAATGCCGTGAGAGATGAATCTGAGGAGGGAGGGGCACAAAGAGTTCAAAGCAGAGCTGGTGGGAATCTGCGAGCAAAGGTGAGAGCGGGCACGGTCGGCAGGCACGGAGAATGGAGCCGCTGAGACGGGACTTACGAGGTGAAGCCCAGCACGCACATGTTCTTCCAGATGTTCCTGCTGTGGAAGAGCTCGTGGAAGGACAGGGGGGGTCGTGAGGAGGGGGCCGGCTCAGAGTCCAGCTCTGTGAGGCATATGAAAAATAAGAAAAAGTTATTCCTTTTAAACAGATAATGAGGAAAACATTATACTTCCCGTCTGTGTACTTTTTCTCATGCTGGGAGTTGATGAGGGCAGGAAAAGAAGCAGTTTGTACCCAAAACAAAGCTGTAAGGCCAGCAGCAACAAAAAAATACAAACAAACAGCAATGTGGACAAAACACAAGGATTTCGTAGGAAGAGTTAAATCCTCGGGCTTTACGTGTAAACAGGCCAGCTCACATCCATCTTATGCTAACACATCTTGCAGATTTCAAACAGAGCTTTGTAGAAACGACATCTGAAAATGCACCGTGGTGAAAACGTATTGTCCACGGCGACTGAGGTCAGAGCAAGCGCCTTTTCTCCGCCCTCCAACCCACCTGTGAAGCTCTCGTCATCCCTCAGGTCTCTGTTAGAGCTTCTTCTCTCGCTGAACGAGTTCATGTCCGCGGATCGCTCCGACAGGAGGAGCCAACGAGGGGACTCTGGAAACACACCGGGAACGCTGCGGGAGAGGGAAATTCTAAATATACGCCTGGATCGCTGCCCCTTTGATCTTAGGTTGCCTTTACCCACGACCACAATGAGTAAGCAGCCCCAGGATATTGCTCCCATAGCCCAGAATTGCTTCTTAAACGTAGAAAAAAATAAGGCTTTAGTTCAGGATGTGGAAAAACTCTTTAATCCTTTCTTATTAAAGCTTACCAGTAATTGTAATCTTTCTGGGGGGGTTTTCAGAAGCAGCCGTGGATGCTGGATAGGTTGTAGGAATTTTAAAGGGACAGAGACATCAGACAAAAGGGGCTCTAATATTGTCTGACGTGAGTGATGAGGCTCAGCTTCATGAGCCGAGCGGATCAATACAGTCCAACAAAGCATCCAGGCGGCCAGCTGGCATGTTAATAGACTGACTCTTTATCTTGAGATACACAGCATCTTTAAAACCAGCACACACACATTTAATGTGAGCAGACATACAAACATGCCCGTACCCGTAGCTGAGGAACAGCGTTAAAGGGGCGGCTCCGGCTCCCAGCAGGCCCCTCCAGGACTGGCAGCCGAGGGCCACGGCCAGCAGCAGCAGCTCTCCGGCCACGGTCATCAGCCCGGCCAGCGTGGTGGCCAGCAGCCTGAGAGACGGCTCACACAGCTCCAGCCCTGTCGAACGCACAGCGATGTCAGTTCTTACAAATTCTGCCTGCAAATTTGTGCAAATTCCATTGTTTGACCCCGTTTGCTTAAACCCAAACAGAGGAAACAGAGCAAATCAGTATTGCTATCATGCAGAGTTGTTCAACTCAGTCACTCCTAAAGCATCACTGCAAAGGAGCTGATCTCAGGCCAGCTACGGAGCACATTTTTAGATGCTGAAATACTCACGGGTGATATACAGAGTCAGATAGACTCCAGCGCTAGCAGCCGCCAGGCAGAAACGCATGACGATGAAGAGAGACGGGTATGGGGAGACGCACACCAGCACCCCGAATATCACGGACAGCGTCAGGGAGGTCAGCAGGGTTTTGGACCTGCCCAGCCTGCAGGGAGGAGGGGGGGGGGACACAAAAGAGCAGAGGGATGGAGCAGAGCCACATGCGAACAAGTTACATTTCGGTATCTCCTTCGTCTTCCGGGGTCCGACTTTTGTGATTAATCACCTTTCCTGGTTGCAAAAACAATCATTTCACATCAGCTTTTAACAACCTGCAGGCTCACGTCTAAAGCCAAAGGGATCTGTGACGCGCATAAATCAGCAGAGTCATTAGCTGCTCCCCAAGCGGTGAGCGGGGGTGGAGCGGCTCCCACTCGTCTGTGCTCCACCCCAGGAGGCAGCATTTAGCTGCGCCATCTTAACAAACAGAGGCCACGCTCAATTGGTCAGTAAATTAATGAGGGCTGTTAGTTTATTAAGCTGGCCTCATCTGCCTGGCTAGAAAAAAGCTCCTGCCTCCTCTTGCAGTGACACAGCAGACGCAGACTGGTTCAATGGTTATCTGACTCTTATCTCGCCTACATAAGCTTTAAACATTGGCATCTGTGCTGTTTTAAGTGTTTGTTTGTTTTTTTTAAAGCAGCACTGTTTCTCTCACGGAACGTTTTCCTACTACATTAAACTCCTCTCAGACTCCCGGTTTGTCTGCCTGCTGATAAATCTCCCTTTCTCTCTGGGGAAAGCAATGAGTAAAAGGAGCCACTAAATCTACAACCAATTTCCATTTGTGCTACAACGTCTGCAAAGTAGCGGACAGCGGTGGTCTGAGGGCCGAAAATGGCCCCAAATTCAGCTGTCTGTCGATCGGAAAAGGCCGGCCTGCGTTACCTGTCGCCAGCGAAGCCAAAGCTGAGGCAGCCGGTCAGGACGCCCAGGATGAAGCACACCTCCTCCACGGGGACAAGCCAGTACTGAGCACACACCAGGTCCCACTGTGGAGCACAGACACCAGTCAAGGGAGCCTGTCGGTGATAATCTGCTCAAGTCAAGACAGGACAAGTGTGTGGGCATCATCCAAAAAGTAGAGTGGAGCAAAACAGTGCTGATGGATTACAAAAGGAGCGTAAAGCAATGCGAAGCCCTCAAAGTCCATTAGACTCAGAACGGATCACAGGAAGACATAACCACAGAACGTTACTAATGGTGCTGGCTGGAGGTTGGCGAGTGCAATACGCTCATTTTCTCTACTGTGCGCAACAAAAGTCTTGTGATAAGAACAGTGTGGTCATGTGAACTTAGTCAAAATGATTTCAGGCCGGAAGTTCAAGCGGCCGTTTCACAGCAGCCAGTGTTCATAAACACAGGCCTCCGCTCTCGGATCCGTTTTAATCACGGTGATTTGCATTTGGAGCTGAGCTCTACTGATGTGGCTGCCTGCGGGCCACTGAGCCTAAAGTGGTTTTGGGCGACCCGGACCAGGAAGAGGTGGAGCTCAGTGAGAAAAACGACAACAAAAGCTTTGCCTAATTAAAAAATCCTCCAGGCGAAACATAAAAAGCCTGTCACCTAATATCTGGCCGGGTGAGGGGGCCTGCGTGGAGCTCGTTCAGGTGGAATGTTTGTGTGTCAGGAATGAGCATGAACGGGTTCTGAAACCGCCCCGACTGGTTGGATTTGCCTTTGTGCCGACAGGAAAGGGCCGACACATTCAACAATGTGAGCATTGCTTTGAGGGCGTTGATTGGACAGCTGCCATTTTGTCCCGTGAAACAAGCACAAGTGAGACATCCTTAAGTCCCATTTTTATGTCGGCTGGCATCGTCCCAAACCCTCCACATGCTGCCTCCTCTTCGAGGCAAGCCAGGGGGACCGGAACAGCAAAATGACCCTAACTCAGCCACGCCTGGGTATGAGGAGCCATTTTTAGTACACTGGCAGCAGTGGTGAGGGCGGGTTAGCAGAAAACTGCCCTCGGTACTTGGGTGGAAAGACTGGGTTGGGCTCCCACCTCAGAAGGCGCAGTAATGAAAAAAACACACCGAGGCCAAAGTGTGACCGGCCTTTGTGAAGACGTGAGCATTAACAGGCCACAGACGGCCACTGTGGCTGCTCTGCTCTAACCCTAATCTGCCTGCGAGCAAACGAGGAGCCCCACCCCGCCCATGAAGGAGGCGTCTGGGAGAAGTGGTTTTACAGCTGTCCGGATTTAGACTGGTTTCCCCTGATTGTGTCTCAGCAGCTGTCTTCCTGTCTCAGAGGTAATCTTGCTGGAAGCCGCGATTGTTCTATTGATGTGACGTATTCAGGGAAACTCTGACATTCCGCACATGCCTGATTAAATTGTTCCTTTCATAGTCAATTGGGGCTGACACACTGACAGAGATAAAAGACACATTCCTTCATTGCTTTCCGACCCAGCCTCACAAACTCTCATGCCAGGATTGGATGCAGCTGAGATACACATTTTATGCCAAGTTTTTTTTTTTTTAAAGCTTAAATCAACCACTACTTAACAGAACGGCACTCTGTTCAGCTCTTTCTGATCCCTCAGAAGACTTTAACAGCATTAATGTGTAAAGTCAGCAGGATTCACCCGTAAGGCACGTCTGCTGATTCAGACAAGTCTCAGATATCCCTGAAATCTCCTTCTCAGAACACCTGAGGGACACATTCTGGCACAGGTCACCCTTCCTGCCGCCAAAATCCCCCTGAACGCTGCTCGCAAGGTCGAACGACAAGGGAAAAAATACACTTCAAAGGATCTGACTACCCCTAAATAGATCCGAACTATTTCAACTTGGTATGCCGTCACATTGAATTATTACTACACATCAACCAACTGCAGACTGAGATATTAGGAATACCCTGAAACCTGTGCAGAAAACCAACTAACAGTGTAATGTTGAAGACCACAAGCTAGAAAAGACGATTTTTATTGTTTCCTGAATGGCTGGAATTCCACAGCTTGCTGGACTCTAACGTGTGTAATCTCATTTGGCTGTTTAAAGATTTAAAACACTGTCCTGTCTATTTAAAGCTTCAAAGATGCTATTTTGTACACTTATGGGGGCTTTGTCCCCTTTCTGAGAATCACTATATGCAGCTGAATTAAAGTTCAGTGAAAAACTTCAAACTTGCGTGCTCAGCGAGACTTATCTTTTTTTTAGGTTCAGGACATAAAAAGAGCAATTTCTGCATTTTTCACACAAACAAAAAGGCTGATTTTCTCGCTGAGCTCCAACTATAAACTGGAAGGGGACTGCAATTAGAGGCCGTCAGAGGATTAGCTGGAGCGTTACCTCCGTAACGATGTTGTTCTTCAGCCCCTCCGTGACGTTGTAGTCCCATCCAGCCTTGCAGTCCACCACCTCGGACTGGCTGCCGTTGGTGTACTGCTTACACTGAGAAAGCCCCCCGCTGTCGCCGGGCCTCTGCCCCTTCTCCCAGGGCAGGGAGGCGTTCAGCACCTCTGGCGAGGGCAAAGGGTCTGGCAGGTGGCAGTGGTGGTGAGGTGAGAGGGTGATGAGAGGGTCGGAGGACAGCAGGAAGGCCAGGAAGAGGTTGGGTAGGATGGAGAGAGCTATCAGCACCCGCTGCTTCTTCCTACCCAGAGCCAGCACCATCACCTCCCCCGTGGGGGGCAGTGAGGGTTGGGCGGGCATGGAGGAAGAGGACGGGGCAGGGGAAGAAGGCACTGGGGACGACGGGAGGGATGGAGGGGGTGCAGGACACGGGGAGGGAGAGACCAGCGGCGGTGAGTCTGGGGATGTCATCTCTCGGGGAGGAGAGGCTGGTGCTGAGGTGAGAGGAGGTTGCGCAGGTGGTTGAGAGCTCTGTGGAAGCACACAGCATTAATTCAAAGAGCTGCTTCTCACAGCTTCAGTTTGCCATTTCAGAGGAAGACACACAGGTGTAAAAAAACACAGAAGGCGAATGCATTCCATTTATTTTTCTCACTTTCCTCACAGCCCTCGTTTGATTTGCGGAGCTTCGCCTGCATTTCTGTCATTTAAACACGTTTTTTTTTTTTTAAACTGATCCCTGACTTTTTAGACGTGAGATAGGTGGGTTGTGTGAATGGAAAAATCACTGCGGCGTCTCTTCAAAGCTTGTCAAAGCTTGTACACTTTTCCTATAAATGATCAAAGTCTCTGACTGACTCAAAATTAAATAAGTGTGAGTGATGTATAGACTCCCTTTTCTCATCTGTGTTCGAGCCAATATCTTCACCTACCTTCACTGACAGTCTGTTGTGATGGAGGTAAACTATTGATTTTCTGTCAGGTATTGGTATTTGACAGACAACCCAAAAAAAACTGTGAAAGGTGAACTGAGCAGGTTTTAAATTGGGTAGCCTTGATCTTTTCCCAGCTCTCACAGTACACCAAAACGTTCAATATATTTCAAAGCGTAGATATTCAAAGGACATCTTTTTGCTCACTGGGATGATTTAAACTCCGAAAAAACCTACATTCCCCATACTGCAACTTCAAAGCAACCTTTGACATAGTTCTCCTGATTTTCTCCGGCCTTGGTTCGGTCACAAACCCCTAGAGGACAAACTGTTGACATTACTAAGAAACCTTCTGATAGTTTTTTGTTTTAAATGAAATAATAAAAGCAAACAAAGTTTCATATCTGGGTTTTTTTTTTAAATGCGTCTCTGTTGTGGACATTTTGGATGGTAGATCCAATTTGATGACGTCACGTATTTTGATTTGTTTCTTTCATTTCCGCCTGCCGCTGCCAGCGGCTCGCGCTCTCCTCAGCACCCCGCACAGTCCGTGCACATGGCGCTAAGCCTGGAGCCAGTCCTGCCGTGTTTTCCTTTCCAAACGGCCAGGAAGTCTGGCTGAAAGGAACCCCACACGGTTACATAAGAGCTCTGACACAGGGGGCGGGGGGGGGACGACGTGGACGGAATGTATCACACAGGGGCTGGCTGGCCTCTGTGGGAGCTGAAAACAGGGCAGCGCGGAGGGGGGAAGAAAACGGGAGAAATGGGGAGGGGGGCAACAGCTTGGGCCAGGCGTGTGGGACTGTCGTAACACCTGCCCGGGCTAAACGGAGGGAAAACACGCCGTTCGTCGTTACGACATCTGTCCCACTCCACAGCGCGGCGCGTGCCGTTACTTACCCTTTAACGAAACGGCGCTAAGCGCGAGCTAATGCAACGAGCCCGCTGCCTCTGCCGAATGTCCGAAACATTGTAAAGCGACACGGAGTAGTTGCCAATGCCTTTCACCGCATTTCAGCTGCGCCTCCATGCCGGTGTGCTTGTTCCAAAACGCGAGGCGACATTTTCTGTTTTCGTAGAAAGTGCTGCAGTCTCTCACGGACACCGCGGCCGCCTTTGACTCCAGCAAGGACACCGGACTCCTGTTAAGTGTCGAGCTCCGCTAAAAAAAAAACCTCCGCCACTTTGGCATGTGATGCTGCCCGCCGGGGATGCTGCCGGGCTCCTCTCCTCCTACCTTCTCCGGCATACGGTGTTACGGTTCAAGTCCAAGGTCCTGGCTGCGGCCATTACGGAGAGGTGAATACATAAAGCCTAAATGTCTCCGACATCACCCCGAGGGGAAGCGCGTCGTCATGAAGCTGTTGGCGGACAAAGAGCGGGTGGAAAACTGCGGAGGGCTGCCAGTTTAAAGGGAGCAGCACCGCCGGCGTCAGTACACTTCGAGAATAATCGGCTAAAATCGTCACATCGCCGTCCCTCTCGCTTCGTTGCTGACAAAGATCGTTTATTTTTCTAAAAATGAATCACTCCGAGTCAAATTTGATCGCTACTAAAAAAATGTTTTTTTTGCTTCAACTCTCCTATGGTTTTTTAGGCTACAAATTGAGTTTATGTATTTATTAACTAAAAATAACTTCAATATTTTTTTTAGGTTAAAGAAACTTGAGATGCTAAATGTTTTTTTCTGGCAAAGTAAGTCAGCACCTGAGATTACATGACCAGCCAAAAGGAACATCCAGGGAACTTTCCCTTTCAAATATTTGGTAAATCTTTTATAGACTTTTGCTGTAACTGAAGCTTGTATGTGCCACAAAAATTGCAGTCTCAAAAAGCACACAAGTTCAAGAAAAAGTATCTACATATCTGCAACTATACAAATGACACCATTGGAGCTCAAATCGAAATAGGCTGAGTTCATGTGCCATCTTAACAGAGTAGTGAGCATAGTAATAGTCTTTTAGGTTTCAAACAACCCTCTCTGTGGTTTGTAAGCATTGGAAAGTTGACAAATGGGAGGTACATGTCTCTTTTTGGCCCCAAAGGAAAGACTACACTTACACTATTATTACACTTAGCCACTAACTGAAACCCCTCATATTAGAGTAACATTAAGTGTTCTTTAACTTAAGCTTGTTATCTGGGCACTTTATACATGCCTAAAGTCAAAGAGGGTACTAAAAATGTTTAGTTGTGTACAGTTTAACTTCTTCACATCATCAGAACATATATAATATAGCAATTAAAGATACATTTAGTTAGTAATGGATAACTAATATGTAGAAGCACAATTCCAAAATGTGTTCTTTATAATATGGTGCTCTGATAGTTTTCTAAATAAACATAAAAATCTGTTCATTCAAACACCTTGACATTGTCCCTTAGAATAATCACAACACAATTCTGGCACGCTGATTGGTTATAGCTGTTTGGATTCTAAACTTTTAACTGTTGACGTCGTACACGGAGTCTGTGTCAGAGTGAGAGGTCTGTCTTTTTGTGTGCTCTCCGCTGCAGAGGCGCCACGCGCCGCTGTGTGCCGCACGGTGGCGCCACACGTCACGCGATGACCACAACGACAGGTGTGTCGCCCACTTTTCCTCCACGCATCAGCTGAAGAATAGCCAGGGGTGGACTGGGGTGGAGACGAGTGGAATGGATGAGTGGAAGTGTATCATTTATCTGCTCTGCTGTAATTTCGCAGCGTCTTACTGGTTAAACGTGACAAAACTCCATGAATATTTGAGTCTCCTCATTAATTTTTAACAGCAGGGTTTGATGAGAACATTCATTGAACTCGTCTGGCCTGTCGCCACTTACCTGCATTGCGTCTTGAGTTCAGAGTTTGCTCCCTTTTTTTTGTTTTTTACAGGGGAGACAACTTGTTTCATGTGTGACTTGTTGGCACCAACAGTTTCCCTGGCAGTGAAGCAACTGGTCATTCACAAACAGCTTCCCATGCAGCACATCTCCACAAGTTTGAATATTTACTTTCAGAAAAGTCCAAAGCTTTGACTTTTTACCTTTTAGCAAAAGTTTCTCATTCTAGCATTTTCTTTTTGACTAAAATGTTTTGAACTTCCTGTGTTTTTCCCACCCTAAGAATGTTCTCGTATTAACACCAAGCAGAGAAAATGATGGCGGCCGGTTCCCCTTTCGAAGTCAAAGTTTCACACACTGGGCCCGTTACAATTAATGGTTCTGTGTGAGGATTTTTTTTATCAAACCTGCCAAATTAAAGAAAGGGATTCATTAATATTAGTTCAAAATAATGATGAAAGTAAATTAACCCCATTCATGCTACCTTTACCCTCCATAGATGACGCTATGATTGCAAAAGATTTCCTATTGATTATGGATCAGATGGACATCCACGTTTTCTTGTCATCGAAACAACCTGAATCACCAGAAGCGCAAAGATTGGAGCTGTCAGTGGGCTTGTGGTAGAGTTGATACGGTCCACTGTTGTTGAGTAACTTAGTGTGGATTATATGAAATACAGTCTTTCTTCACTTTGTGGAGATGTTGCAGTCCTGGGACCACAGATTGCCCCACATGACGCTGCGGGACATTTCAACAGACGCTAACACAAGAAATCTTTATTTGCTTCTGAAGACATGTTAAAATGTCTCCGTTAAACTTTCACTCTCCATAGTAACAAAAGTGATGGTCGATTATTTATGTCTGTATGTTGTAAATACAGCTGATTTCAATGTTCTGTCCATATTTGTTGAAACATCTATGGATACAGCTAAAGACTAATGGATTAATGGACCGATCTGCACCATCGACTGTTTGTTCTGATTTGAAGAATGTTGTATTTCTTATTGTTTGAGGGTTTGAAGCATATTTGTGACTCTTTGACTGGCGTTCGGTGCCCTCCACATCCTGTGTTGTTTCCAGAGATCCTTGTTTAAAACTGTTTCATTTAAAAATTAATTGATTCTGGTCATGGTTTCAGCTTGGTTAATAAAACCAAGAAGAAATTATGTTTTAAATCTCCGTGTTCATGGAACTGAATATGTGTCAGCTTTACTCTGAATAGACTTCAGGATTTAAATTTCAAACGGCAAAAACAAAAAGGTGTCTGGCTCGTTGCCCCCACCCCCTCTTCTTTGTCTTCTATCTCTGTGTCCCTTCACTACCATCACAGCCACAGGAAGGCCCTGGCAGCCCAAAAGCACTGATACCATCTCTGTGCTCCTCATCTCCGTCCTCCACTGTGTCGAAATCTTGCCCATCCCACAAAGGGAAACCGCTGGTGCACAACGGTCCATGGCATGACGTCCGTTTCTGTGGGTAGGGGAGTTATGGTAAATAATGTGGCAGGCGTACGCCATGTTCCCTGATGGAGGATGCTGGGCAGAGTCAACGACAGTGATGACACAAAACATTCACATTGAAACAAACTGTAAAGGCTCCAAGTTACGAGTCTCCTGTGTTAATATATGGACAATAAGTCAGGGTCAGCCGTCCATATTTTGGTGTTTCTCACAGTGTCAAAAGAATTACCTCAAACAGTTGAAAGAAGCACAAAAAATGTTTTAATCTTAAGTGAATAGTTCTTTACTAATGTATACTATGAAAACATGCAGTTAACAACTCAAGTGTGGATATTCAGAGAATTATTTCTATTCTCTAAAAATCACACAGCCTAATGATCTAGAGACACCTAGATTTCATTGATTCTGCTACAAACCACAGGTTGTTGTGTAACTGTTGGGCAACAACACCCACAATCCATTCTGAGAAGGATAACAAGTGTCAGGTAGATGATTAAGCAATGGCGATCAAATAAAGTATAAAAGAAAATCAGTCCGAGATATATCATGGATGTGTATGACGCATGAAGTTATTGTACCTATAGTTTTTGCTTTTTTCCAGCATTTCTCTCAATCTCTTCTACTTCCTGTAATGTTTCCATGTAATTTTGTGTGCCAGTATATTTAGCTTACATCTACAACAGTTTACATTCACACCACTGCACACTGTACAAGATATTTTGTAAAATATCACAACACAGTTAAAGAATTCAAGACTCCCTTTTCCAGAATTTCCAACTGCATAATGAGCTTCTTCAAAGCTTCAGTTAGCACTAAAAAACAGAAACCGTCTTCCTTTTCTGGTGTAAATATAGCCTTTAATGAAGCCAAGCCTTAACAAGAAAAAAATTCAAATTTCTTTATTAAAATTTCTTTATTTAGTTAATCGTAGTATCATCTGCTCAAACCTCAAAGATAAACATTGACCAATCAGAGCTTGACGTTTATAACTTTGTGACATATGTTAGCAACATTTAATTTCTCAATATTCTTAAAAAGCGACAGATTCAAATTTCCTTCTTAGAAAGTCAGGTACAAACATACACGTTTACAACCCTTTAAAAACAAATAAACTTGAAATGCAAATTGCTGGGAGCACTTCCTGTTTCAGACATCTAAAAAAACCTCTTGCAGCTCTTGTCTATTTAAGCCCCCTTTCTCTGATTGGTCAGTTAATTGCATAGAAATGTCAGAGTGTAAAGCAGATATTTAATGTTTTGTAAAATTTTTAGCAAGCCATCCATCCAGCAGACATTGTGCCATCGTTTAAATTCATTGTCAAGCAGGGAAAGAAATTAATTCTGTGGTAAACTCCCTTTATCCATATGCTCTTTAAGATGGTCAGCATGGCAAACCACACGCAGTCACCATGCAGAATAATTGACAAAACGGATTATTTTTTCAGACTTCACGAAACTTAAAACACACAAAACCAAATATATAAAAAATACAGATTGTGTTTATGTACCTTAACACGATTACAAGCGTATTAGCATGCCTTGCTAACTAGCAAGCTGCAAATTGTTCTAACTGCACACAAAACTGATGGATAACTGGTTCAATTTGGGGGGGAAATAGATGGACTATTTAGGATTTAAAAGGACAGCAAACTTTTTCAAAAAGCTGCAATAGCTCACAACTTAATACATGAAAAGCAGAATTTAAAAAGGCCGGTTAGTATTCAAGTTATTTACAGTTGTCTGCATGTGCTCTGGGGGATGTTACTGCTAATAAGGTGTTCAGTGTAGCATTGTAAATGTCTTTTAACTGTCTGTACCAGTGAAAGGTTTTACAGGGGTGACAAAATTCAAATCAATGGGGGCAGACTACTGAAAAAAAATACATTTATGTGATAAAAGTGAGCTTCCGACTGTCTAAAACGCAGCTATGATGTTGCTGGTCGGTTCACAGCCAAAATGTAAAACAAGCAGATCTCTAACTGTTCCCTCCAGCTCAATTCTGTAGGTGAAACATCCAGTGCTAGGCCTGTAGATGACGGTAATACATATGATGTCTGTAAGTAGTTGTTATTGCAAAGAACTGATGCTTTTCTCGGCGTTCAGATGCTGGACTCCCCTGCTGCTCCCTCTTCGGCTCCCTGCAGGTGCCTCTGTGACAGGATGTGTTTCAGAGTGTCCAGCTCCTGCGTGAGCTGCCCTATCCTAATCTGCAGCTTCTGGTTTTCTTCATGCAGCTGCATGGCCTTCTGCTGGGTCAGCATTATCCTCCTGCGGGCCTTGTCCCGGCTCTTCCTCACGGCGATGTTGTTCCTCTCGCGTCTCAGACGGTACTCCTCGCTATCTTTGCTGATACTTCTCTTGGTCACCGGGGCCCGCATAGTAGGAAGCAGGAAGGGGGAGAATTCCTAAAATGAAATATTCAAGCAGAGGGAAATGAAAGCCAATCACACTTAGCCATTGATTGTTATCTTCTTGCGCAATCGAATGCTGCTCCCACCTGCTGAGTGTTGGCATGGCTCTGGTGGTTTGTATTATCTGAGTTGGTGGTGTTACTGAGGCAGGAAGTTGAGTAAGGGAGGTACGGCAGACCCATCATCTGCTCGGCCACTCTGTCGTCCAGTCCCCCTCTCAGCAGCCCTTGGGGCTGGCCGTATGACATCATGTCCATCTGCATCATCTGGCTGGCCGGCACAGGCTGGTTGGAGGAGACCGGGCTCAGGGTGGAGCCGCCGGACTGGCCCGAACATGAGCTCACCCATTCCTGGATGACAGAAGATACTCTGGAATCAGACATCTAGAAGGGGGTTTTGAAGGCAGAATACATTTTAGCTTCATTTTCTCCTTTTTAAAACAAAACAAAAATGCAATCGGAAAAAAATCTACCGTTCAATCACATAATGACCCTTTCTTTTTTCAACATATTAAACTGTTTTACTTCATGAAGCTGTACAAAGCTCTTGAGACAGCTTAATATGCTTATTTTTCTGAGAACTGCTAATAAGTGTTAAGTTTAAAACCAAAAATGCATGACTATACCATTTACGTATGGAAGATTGCCTGGAAAATGTTTATATTCCTTCAACTTTCATGCTACTGTTCAGAAGTAGAAGAATGATAATTTTACTAGTGATCAATTTTATATGATACTACTTCAGAACTGTCGTATTTAAGTTTAAACATCAGAAATGTTCAAATATTTGAAAATTTTTTGTTTGAATTAGAATGCATAAATATGGAAATTGGTTGTGTTTTCTGGAACATAACTATTTAAAGTATGTAAACCTGAAAACATGATATTAAGTCAGGTAATCCAGACGTTCACATTGTAAGTGCTAATTATAATAATAATCAAGACTCAGAGCCTAACCTAAATTCATATCAAGTATTTCAGAGCATTTTAAATACACTTCTGCAAATAAAAATTCTTTAAGCGTCCTTGTATTTTAACAGCTAAGTGTACTTTGTATTTTTTTGTTGCTCTCAATCCTTTAATTTGAAATCTGATAGTACGATTTAGGATAAAAAAAACTGAAGTAAAAATAAACCTCCTGTGTCACTGAAAATTTCAACTTTCGACTAATTATTATGTATTCTTTTCAAAATGCCAGTGTTTGATTATACAAACATTTCTTAAAACAGAAATAAAGTTTGGATGCAACTTACCATGATTTGTCTCTCCATAAACTCTCTTCCGTTCTACTCAATGTTTGACTGGAAATGACCTGAAAGACAGGAGACTAACAGGCAGGTACCCCTATGATTGTCAAACCATCACTTCCCCTCTGTTTCTTTCCCACAATCACTGTCACACACACACACACACACACACACACACACACACACACACAAACACACACACACACTATCTCTCTCTCTCCCTCTCTCTCTCTCTCTCTCTCAGACACACACACACACACTTAGCCTATTTTATTGACTTCCACTCTGAAATCCTAAAATTTTCTTTAATTCAGTCCTTATTTATTTCATAAGTTTAATTTAATTTATAGTTTGTTTAATTAAGATTGGACTTTAGTCTGGTTAGACATGTCCTGACATTGTTATTGACAGAAAAAGTCCATATAAGGGGAAATAGTTCAAATTGTTTGGACGACATTCATTTTAGGAAATACAGTTAACATGTTTTAGAAAGGCAGGTCACATTATCTTATGTATTACGTATCTTCAGTTAATATTTTGTATGTCTCTGCGGCTTTATATTCGTTCATTTGTAACATATTTACGCCGATCTTTGACATTTTACACTGCAGCAAGCGTTACAACGTAATTATTGTCCCCTTGTGGTTGCCGTAGTTTCATTGGAATTAAAATGGCTGCCACTCTTGACTCCGTGAGTAAACCCGAACCAAAGTATTCATTTATTAGATGTTTATTTAGTTTTCCTGTGTTGTTTTTAGGCGGTGGATTGTATTTATTTGTAATGACAGACATTTAAAAGGATTTGGGGCGCTGGTGTTACTTTTTGATAACTGGCAAGATAGCTAACTCTCACCGGCTAACGAACCCCACATGTGCCTTAATGCTACATTTCACCGTGAGGCGTGTTTACAGATGTTGGTGTTCTGAATTGCTTTTGTTTTCTAATAGGATTTGATCGAGAGCGATTTGCCCCAAGCTGTTGACCTGCTGAATAATCTGACAGAGCAGGTACGATCACAGCATTTCTATTCGTCTCATGGTGCTCACTGCTGGATTGACTTTTTAAAGTTGCATTAAATGTAAAAATTGAAGGAATGTACCTTGAATTTGAGCCTAAGTACAACATTCAATCCATTTCATGGATCGGCTTTAGAAATAAAGTGATCGAACATTTGAACAGCCTTTAAAAAAAAAAAAAAAATCATGGTTCAGTTGCAGTTATGTTTAATTCCTGGAATTATTTTTTGGTCTTTAACTTAAGGTGGCCTCAGTCACAAGTCATGTCCGTGAGCTGCTGAAAAATGTCAAAGAAGGGGCACTTCAGACATCGAAGGTGAGGAGGAACACAGCTTGAGGTGTACACTTTTCCCACAATTAAAACCCCTGCATTATTTTCCTATTTTGGGTTAAGAAGAATACCAAACCGTCTTTTTACTAAGTGACACATCTCAGAGGAAAATGGAAATTAAAGAGGAAATCATTCCTTTTAATTAAATATTTTTGTTTATTTAATAAACTCACAAAGGCCTTTACGTCATATCTTCTTCTCAAATAAAACCTGGACTTTTCTCTCTTTTGGATGTAGTTTTGAATGGCAAAGGCTGTTTAATTGAGATCGTTTAATGATTAATTCAGGGTCAGTCATACAATCATGTGCATGAATCTAGTTCCGAAAGTCAATTCATGATGACGTTTGAGGCTGTAATTGATTTCCGTTGGCTCACTGTGTTTTTTTGTTAAGTATTTTGGAGTAATTTTGGGTTTCTGCTCCTCCTCCATCATCTGTCTGTTTTCTGCAGGGTATGTCCTTCTTGGACCTTCGCTACCACCTGCTGCTCTTCTACCTTCAGGACCTCACCCACCTGATATACCTCAAGACAGCCGGCGAGAAAATAAAAGACAGTGAGGCCTTGACCAGACTGGTCACCATCCGGACGGTAAGGCGGCCTGCAGCTCTTTATCCCGGTGTCTGGACAACGGGCTACATGACCTCTTTTGTGCTTTTTTACATTCCCACCGTTTTAAGATTTTGGAGAAAATGCGACCGCTGGACCACAAGCTGAAGTACCAGATCGATAAGCTGGTGCGCACGGCCATTACTGGCAGCTTGGGTACGATGGATGTGATTCCAAACATCAGACTTTTGTATTTTTCTGATTATTTGCTTTTATCTGGCGCTGAATTTTATTTAAAATTTTGATCTCAGCTGAAAATGATCCCCTGAAGCTGCGGCCAAATCCTGAAAATCTCATCAGCAAGGTAGGTTTCCGTTGGAGTATTGTTCATATGTTTGTTCAAGCCCATATTATGTTCGCGTGTCAGTTGTAAATACTGGACTTTCTCGCCCAGCTGAGTGAATCCGACGAGTCAGGAGAAGAGGACGAAAACGAGGCCTCACAGAAGAAAGCAGCCCACTCTAGTGGCAAGAAATATGTACCGCCCAAGATTGCCCCAGTGCATTACGGTAATGAGTTCCTTTTAGAGTTTATCTGCTTGTTAAAACCTACATTTTTCCTTTTAAAAATAAGTTTATTAAGAAGTAGAAGCTCATAAAGTGGGGAACCCAGATTACATCATTTCTGCTGGTCCTAAAACACACCTCTCGGTCTTTTCCCTCCCTCAGACGGCGACATGACGGAAGCGGACAAGAAGAAGGCGCTGGCGGAGCGCCAGCGGCGAGCCGCGCTCCGGAGCTCCGTCATCCAGGAGCTGAGGCAGCAGTACAGCGACGCCCCCGAGGAGATCCGGGAAAGGCGGGACTTCCAGAGCGAGCGGGACAGCCGGGAGGAGCTCCACAGGTGCCCCACGTGTTCGCCGTCCACCCGCCGAGCCACAAGAAGAAGGACTGAGTGAGTCCTAAAACCTCCCCTTTTGTTTTGCCAGGAAAAAGTACGAGGAGTCCATGATGGTGCGTCTCAACGTACCCAAGCAGCAGAAAAATTCCAGGAAGAGAGGCACGATGGGAATGTTCGGCCAGCTGAGCAGCATCACACACTTCAGTGACATCACAGCCCTGACTGGCGGTGAAGGCACGCAGGTGAGCTCTTAAAGTGACGGCGCACATCCCCCCGACAGGTGTGCTCATAGGTGGTGATAAGGCATCTTTAGCAGCTTCATTCAGCTGTTTTCAAACCTGAGGAATGAAGAAGATACGGACAGATACCTCACTCACCTGAGGATTAGAATGATCTATTTTTAGATTAAATGAAGATTTAACTCTCAGGTCTGGTTGGGATGGATTTGAAACATTATCGGCGTTTGATGAGTAATTCCCACATAGAAAACCTGCAGCAAATGTACAGAATGACCACGTCTAGCTTTAAATGCTCCACTGTGGCGTTTTTTAAAAATATTCCAGCTGCCCCGTCTCTTCCAGGTTTGGTTTGCAGTTTCTGTTACATATATATATTTTTTCATGTCCAAATGAGTGAGTGCGGATGATGACTGATCCACCTCTTGTTGATAGTCGGCTCCACTGCTTGCAGATGTGGAAAAACCCTTCAGTTAAGTGTAGTCGAGAGGACTTGGAAAAGCCACAGGCTATGTTTAGTCTTTGTCCTCGAGTACCCCGAGAAGCTGCATATAGATTCTGCAAGCAGGGATGTGTTCTGACTTACTGGTATGCTTTCAAGATCGCCTGATTTGCCTTTTAAACCACCGGCTGTGACGTTTGTTCACACAGGATGGCGATATCCTTCGACCCAAGAAAAAGAAGAAACTCATGAAGAAGAAAACCAAAAGAAAAGGTAATGTGATAATGTAATGATAAACAGGTGTCTTTTCAGTTGAGCCCTTGTATTGACTTTTCTTCTTCCACAGCCTTCAAGAAGCACAGATAGATGGGAACCGTGAAGACTTTGAAAGCATGAAGATTTTCTACAGTTAAATAGAATAAATAAATGCAATCAATCATTCCATTGTTTCTCCATTATTTTCACACGCTCCATCTTCCAAAATCAGACAAATGTGCCACAAAAACAAAAAAAAAATGATCTGGGGACGACTGAAAGAAACAAAATGCGGTATTTTAATGTTGGTGGCAAAACCCATCTGTGCATGCAGCTGCTGGACTTCCAGATGTTTGAAGCTTAATCACAGCTCTGAACGGCCTTCAGTTCTCTGACTGCCTTCAAATCGAGGTTCCAGCCCCAGCGCCAAAACTATGGGTATCTGCGTGAGCATCTTAAAACCTAAAATGATTGAACGACTCAAAAGATATCCTCCAAATGCAGAAAACACTCAAAGTGTGGTAAAAAAAAAAAAAAAAACACGGTCATTTTTACACAATGTCTTTATTTTTTTTATTTTTTTCTAATTACAGACTCATGGGTTAAAAATAAAAATAAAATAAAAAAGCAAAACATTTGACCAAACCCTCCCCCCCGCCCCTTTCCAAAAATAAAAAACAAAAAAAAAAAAAAAAAGTCTCCACACAGACCCCACCCCCTGACTTTCCCCACCCTAAAACAGCTCCAGCCCACTCCAATTAATAATCAATACCGTTTGCTCCTCAGCCTTCCTCAGACAGCCGTGGCTGCACTGCGCATAGTCGGAGAAAGGGGGGGAACCTTCAGGTCCGGCACTTTATAACCCCCCCCCTCCCCCAAAATACTCCCCCTTTCCTCTGGTCCTCCCTTCCTCGCTCGCGCAAACTTGCCTGCCTGACACTCGGCTACGTTGGCTCCAGCTTTGCGTATAAATCATGTGTTGGGTTGGCTGCCTGTTAAGTGCCATCCGTTCTGCAGTGTGTGTGTGTGTGTGTGTGTGCACGTGTGTGTGTGTGTGTGAGAGAGAGGCATTTGACTTGTTAAAAGGACTAAAAGCATGGTCAGCGTTTGCTGTTGTAGTAAATGCCCCCTGTGGCGGGCCTGTGGTCGCCCTGGCCCCCGCCCCCGCCCCCCCACACCGACAGGATGGGGTGAGTGTGCATAGCGGGAGCAGAGAGAGACAGAGATGCTGCGGAGACAGTGGGGGGGGCCGGCGCCACCTGGGGAGGGGTCGTCAGCCTCCACTGGTCCTGAAACCTGAAACGACAAGAAGTGGTCTAATATACAGAGAGAGGAGAGGGGGGGGCGGGGAGGGGGGGGGCTGGAGAGACGGGAGACAAGGTGCACAGAGGGAGAGGAAGCACGAAAGGAAAGAATAAAACCCACAGAGGCTTGTCCACAAACACAAGCATAAAAAAAACAAACCACAACAACAACAAAAAAAGCAGCCATGCCATTTCTGAAGGGTGCCGTGGGGACAAGGTGTTTTTTTTTTTTTTAAAGCCTTCTACCTATGAAGAAAAAACAAAACAAAAAGGGTACAATGGTTGGATTCATGGCTGACCAGGAATCAGCAGGAGAAATAAAAAAAACACAGGAATCCATGATTTGATCGAATAAAGAAAACAAATACCAAACATGAGCCAAGAGAAAAACTTTTTTTTTTGGGGGGGGGATAACAGCAGACACAGAAGGGGGTGGGGGGGGGGGGGGAGGCAATGGTACACTCCAAACTTAACACAACACTCAGAAAGCTAGAGGACGTTCCACAACCGTGTGCGACATTAAACAATAATGAACAATATTTTCTTTCTTTCTTTCCCTCTCTATCTCTTTTGTTTTTTTTTTTTCTTAAATAAATCGAACCACCCCCCTCCCTCCCTCTTTTGATGATGGTGGAGGGTGAGTGGGTGGGCTGTGTTGGTGATGGTGTGAAAGCAGGAGGTCACAGCCAGACCAAAGGAGACACATCTGCAGCCTGAGATACCATCTTTCTTTTCATCCCACCTCCCCCCCTCAAAAAACAATCCCC